TCTCTCTGTGCATTTTATTGTATTTAATCGGAAAGATGCTGCAATCATCTGTAGCAAAATGTTGAAGTATTATCCGTGTTGCTAGAGCTTACCAGATTGTTTCTGATAAAGTCTGGTAGATAATTAATGTCACCAGATTTCTCTGCATGGAAAAACCAAAATATCTCAGTGGAGGGAAGAAATATTGCTCATGAAAAATTGGTCCAGTATTTGGATGCCGGGAATGGTTTGTTCATAATCTTGATTCTTATCGTAGTGTTATGAATAAAGATCCAATCGTACTGAATAAATTCACAGCCTGTAGCCAGTCCCGTTAATGTGTAGAGATGTGGTTGACCCAAGCAACACAGACCCAGGAGGCCCTTCTTAGTTTGTGGTCTCCTTCTGAACCCTCTGTTACCAAACTGAAGTGTTGTACACCTCTTGTTTCCAAATAGTGATCTGTAAGAAAACAAGTTGTTTTGTTTCTTTTGTATGCATTTCTTGGTTGAAAATGTCAGCCAATAAGGTTGCAATGATTATTGCCATTGTTGACATATCATATCCAATCATTTTCAGTAACTTTACTTGTGGTTAATGGGTAACTTTTTGTAAATAAAGTATGTTTTGTATTTGTAGTGAAAACAGGCTCTAGCCTTCTCGTACCGGAGTTACATTCAGATGTCAGTTTGTTTCATCAATGGACGGGAGCTCCTGCTCCACTATTTCTTTGTTTACTTTGTTTCATTCACTGTGGGAGTGTGTTTGCAGAGTGTTTCTGTAGCTTCCTCTTCACTCCACAAACTCTGTTTGCGTCAGTAAACACAAGCAGAGTTGGTGTTTAAAATTTTTGTTTTATTTTTAGGAATTCTGCCAAGAAAACAGAATTTGTAGGTTACTGTTACAGATCATTGAGCTACTCCAAAGTCTTCTTTAGCATACGGCAAACTTTGATGTTTAAATTTACAATTCAGACACAATATGGACATTGATCTAGTGATACTTAGAAGTCTTGTGTACAGTACAATCATAACTTAGACTTGCATTGGGTGTACCTAATCAAAGGCTGTACCTACCCAATCTAAAGAATGATTCTTAAAAATTAAGTAGTAAATGTAGTTGTCTGCAGAGTTTATATCCCACACAGTCAAATATCAACTAGGACTGTACTCTAGAAACATTTGACCAAACTCCACTTTAGACAGAGTTGGGGGACTGTTAGAAAGGCGCTTGACGTCGCCCAGGTGTCGGTCGCAGCGCTTTTTGAAAAGGCGTCCGCTTTTTAAAAAGGCGTCATGGCCTTAGAAGTGTGAACACGGCCTTAGAATGACAGACACAGTTGAATTATTTTCCGAGGCAAACTGAAAAGGACAAAACAAGTAGCCAGCATGGCTGGTCTGTTCATGTTGCTATGGGCACTGTCCTTATTTTATTTTTTAAGCATTATTATAGTCTAGACATTTATTGAACCAAAACATGAAGATCTATAAAGCCAACCAGTGTTTGGCAACCTCAGTTGATTGATACCTGCAGTATGAAGCATATACATAAAATCCAGCACATAGTCATGCAATCTTTGATAATGAACAGACTAATTGAAATCTAGTCTTTAAAAAGCAGATTGACTTTACATACCCTCAACGACTGGCTTGGTCAACTGCTGCATCTCGTACCATCATGGTGATCACCAAGGCTTCATGTCAGTTTCTGAGCTATCATCATCATCCCTGTCTCAGATGAACTGGAGTCTCTCTATGTTTATGGTAGTGGAAACTCAAACGTTTGAGAAGAAATCAGATGCAGATGGAGGCAATTTTGGGAGAAAAGAAATCAATGAATTAAATTGAAGTTCCAAGGCCTCGCCACACTTCTCAGGTGGGCTGTTTGAGTCAGCAGTAAGTCCATTCTTTGTAATGCTTTAATATACTAAGACGTGTTATCGCTAGTCAAGTTCTTTTAAGTGGCAACAGTTTAAAAAGTGCCCTTTGCTATTACGTCATTGTTCCCTTTTGCTCATTGTGAGGTCCATAAAGACATGGTTGGAGGAAATTGACTTACCTTCAAAGAACCCTAACCTGGACCACACTGAACACCTTACGGGTATTGGGACCTATCATTTCCAGCCAGGTCCTCTCGGCCAACATCCGTGCCAGACCTTACAAATGCTCATTCGGCTTAATGGGCACTAACTCCCACAGAGACATTCTGTGGAAAGCCTCCCAAGACGAGTCATGGCCAGAGAAGAGAATCAAACTCCATACAAATGTGTGGTTTTAGCAAAGCATTCAAAGAAGCTCATGTAGGAGTGTGAAGGTTACGTTTCCACTCACTTTTGGTCTAAAGGAATACTTGAAGCGTGGCTCTCTGTATCATCCCTCTGTGTGTCAGGAGTCATTTGTTTGATTGGCTGATGTGCTGCGTTCGTTCTGATTAAAATGCAGGCCGATACAATGCGATCCATTATTCTTTGATTGTGGTGATTGAAATGGTAATGTGGATGAAAGGTCAGCCTGCTCTCCATTCTGTAGCATGACTGTGGAGTGAGTACAGCTGGTGTAGTCTTGGTTGAATGGAAGTCTGCAGGCTGTTGGCATGGTTGCCTCTGCATTTACCTCCTCCTGTGTTATAACATATAAGTCGGACACGGCCAAAAAAGAAAATGCATTCTTTTTTTTTCTTTCTTTTTTTTGTTCCATGCAACCTGATAAGAGCTACCGCTACCAGTAGAGACAAGGAGAAGAATCAGTAAGGATAGTAATTGTCCCTGGCAACCACATACAAAACCACTGCCTTTGTTTTAGGGTTGTCTAGCTTTAACCTCTCCATTGCACCTGTTGTCACTTTTATTTGTATCCCAGCAGCTGAAATGTTTCACAATCCATTGTGCGTACTTAATGGACACATTAATATCCCTGAAGTTAGACTGACTTTGTGTTATACAGTGGTGATTAAGTTAATTAGCCAATTTAAAGAGTTGCTTAGCATCCCACTCTTTAACAAAAATGGCTATCTTTGGAAGGATGTTGTTAGTGAATGCAAACAACGAGCTGAGCCTTTTAATGGCAAGAACCATGGCTTGCATTGATTATCATATTTCGGCCGGGCATGTTGCTGGGTGAAATCTGTAAATCCAAGATTATATAATTACAGGCACACTTTCATTCATGCATGTCTTCAGTAGTGTGTTAGTGCACTGCTTCAGTTTAAGGCCTTCAGGTTCATTCAGATCAGCAGGGGAATGTTTCCCTCTGTAAAGGAGCTGCTGACCCATTTAAACAGATCCCTTTTATCTTTGCAGTGACAAAGTACAGACTTAATATCCTGTTAAAAATAAAATCCTGGAGTGAAAAACTGTTATCCTTTCAGCCTCCAACTCCCCCCCCATGATTTCTAATTATGAAGTTGCCTTGAAAGTTTTAAAAGGGAGACCTGTGACCTTTTGATGAAACATAGTACACCTCCAAGCTCTTCAGGCCTTCTATCACTATGTGCTCCATTTCCCCACCTGGACCGACGCGCGCACACCAGACTGAAGGGAGCGTCAAGGTCAGACGCTGTTATTTTAAGACTGGGACTTTTCCCCACCTCCAGTATGACAGACTGCACACTGTACTCCAGAAACTTTTGGGACAGCTTATTTGCTTCTTCCCCTTTCTGCTGTATGTTTTGAGTATTGTGGTGGATTTGGCTCTTGTTTGTTTGTCCAGTTTTCCTGGTTTCTGTTGTGAAGAGGTTTCATTGCTTGTAGTCCATGATGTTTGTAATAGGTCAACTTGTAATCCTAATTTTCTAAACAGTCATTTTACCATGATTGTCTTAAAAACATCTAAAGCATGTCCTTGGAAATGGGCTCACTACCCTGCTACTCTATCTGAGGTTTCTTGCATTTTTGATCAGCCCTGAAAACCAGACAAATCTGTGAGCTCATGTATGATTTACTCTGGTAGATGTGTCTGGTTCCCCTCCAGTTCAGACACACTTCTTTCAGGCAGTAACAACCGACATGGATATAGTTGATCAGGAAAATACTAAACATGCTTTTGTTTTTTTGGGCCTTTTTGCCTTCATTAGATAGGACAGCTGACGGGAAGTGTTGGGAGGAGAGCGTAGGGGGATGACATGCAGCAAAGGACCAAGGTTGAACCCACGGCTGCTGTGCTGAAGACTATTGCCTCCATTCATGGGGTGTGCGTCATAACTGCTAGGCTATCAGATAGCACCTCTTAGAATTATTTTGTGTCCAATTGATCAAACTGGAGCTCCGTTTTATTGCAACGTTTCTGCACATATGTCTTGTTTCTGTTACTGAATAGACTGAATTGATGTTGGCTTTAAGTGGAACCACATTTTTATTTTCTCCCCTAATGACACAAATATAGTTCACCTTCAGTGCTGAATAAATCAGTCTACTTTTATTTTTTTCAGCATACTTACAAAAAAAATCTCTACAAGGTTCTCTAAATAACTTCAGTTCATCTGATGTCCTACAAACGGCTGGCTAACAGATGGTGATAGGGAGACATTTTCAGGGCATTGAGTTTTAGCTTTTCACTAAAATATTGACACTGCTTCATCTTCAGTTTGAAAAGGTATCACAGGGATTATGACCACACACATCAGCTCTGTGTGTTTCTAAGTGCTCATTTCAAAAGGTTTCTCTTTACTCCTTCATTTACATGTTTTTGGGTTACACTCTTTCAAGTCAAGAACTGAAATGAGATGTGCTAAATGGAGGTGGAGAGTTATTTCACTGCAATGAAATTGCATGAATATTTGAAATGCATTGGAAAACGGATGAGAAGAAATCAACCTACTGTAGAAATACAACATGTAGAGCTGGCGTGTCCCCGCTGAGATCTGCTCGGAGTGCCAGCTATTTTTGTTTGAAACAATTTGTTTTGAAATTACAGCACTGCAGTGAAGCCTGGTTAGGACTAAACAAGAGAACAAACAGAAAGGGATAATTATGAAAACATTTGGACTTTCAATCACACTGCCTCTGTGTCTGTCTTTCTCTGCAGGTACAAAGACAGAATGTGAGGCCAACCAGTTCCAGTGTGGTAATGGCCGCTGCATCCCGTCAGTCTGGCAGTGTGATGGTGACGAGGACTGCACTGACGGCAGCGACGAGAGCTCCTGTGGTAAGAAGCCAAACAGACACACAGTTTAATCATTAACAACTTCATCACTAACAACATGAATGTCTGATTTACTTCAAAGAACATGAATTCTACTTAAAGGGGTTTATGACACATATTTACAAACATCACTGTCCTCAAAAAGCTGCATTTTCCTTTGGCATCTCAGAAACTCGAATGTGCAAAATCAAAGAAAATAAAAGAATTCTGAGAAAAGATACAAAGACCACATACATTTGTTATGTTACAATCACAGGAGAAAGTATTTAAGGTACATTTTTGGAACATTTGATTTGGGATCAAGCTCCATATGTGAGTAATGATAGACTGTCGTACCAAAGAGTTCTTTATTTTAACCTCCTAAGATCGTTGGAAATGTTTTTCATTGGTTTGATGATGCAGTGTTATTCCCCAGCTTAAACATTTCTATTGTTGCCTTATTCATAGAGTTTTGCAAGTGGTTGACCTCCAATCTCTGGGCAGATTTGTACTTATTGGAGAAGTTTTGATTTGAGAGAAATGGACAAACATGTGTACTATGTGGTGTCACAGGACTGTGGGAAACTCAAGTTCACTGAAATGGAAAAAGAAAACAATCTGTCTTCTTGATAGAAAGCTCAACTCATCTGGAGGATATTAATTCTTTGTTCTAGTGTCATTGGCAGACAAATTGAATGTGATATTTACTGAAAATGGTCTTTCTTCACACCCAAGTATTTCTTATAAATACCTGCTCATTATGTACAACAATCAGAGCTTTTTAAAAGTCACATACTGACCTGATTGGGAGTGAATGTGTTCATGTCTGTTGAAGAGCTCTGACTGAATCATCAGAGGTAGATGTTTCTGAACGTAGCTCGCTCAAACACATTAATTGCAGTCTGAACTTGAGATGGTCTCTTCTGTGAAACAGTAAGGTCACATACAGCTTTCATATCCACTGAAATCTGTTTTTTCTTATTCCTCATCCGATGTTTATGGTTTGCACACATCACTTCAGTTAAATGTATCTTTTCAAGGATAAATATGAGGATAATGTTAAGATGTTTATTTAAATGCTTCTGACAGTGACAGCTCTGACTGGAAGCATTTTGTATTCTGGTCCATCCATCAGTTTAATTCTTGTGACATTGACACTTGGCTTTGAAATGAATCGGTGGATAATCTTTCTTGTTCTGCTGACCATCACATCCTCAGCAGAGACACTCTGGTGTCCCTCCTTTTAGATGATGGTGATGCTGACTTTCCCTTTTATTTCTGTATTTTGCCTCAGCCACAGCTCCACTGTAATTCTGCTGGAAACACATGGGCGGATGTAAATTGACTTGTCGGCTAAGGCATACATCTGCAGGGTTGTAAGCAAGAAAAAAAATCCAACATACCAGTGTTGTTTATACATTCAGAGCCTGATTTGTCTGATTCCTCTGTGACTTATGTCCATTGTCTATTTAAAAATGCATCAGTAAGGCACTGGGTGACATGGTCCTCCATTACCATGAACCCAAACACTGTTGTTAATTTTTAATTCCACATAAAACATCCTGCTGCCTAGTATACATGCTCCAACACCAAGCCACTACTGAAAACTGTCCCAATAAGATGTACTTTTGTTTGCTAAATACATTACAGTTCCCGGCTGTGGGGAGTCCTTTTTGAGACGTAAGTAAATGAGCTGAGCACCCTACAGACAAGCCCCTATCTTAATCTGAACATTGAAAAACCAAGTCAGTACTGTACAAGTCAACTATGCAAATAATAACTCCAGGAGAAAAAAAAAAATACAGCAGCTGAATACCTGCACTTTCTTTCTTTCTTGGCTGCAGCTAGTACACTGAGTTATGCAGGAGTAACAGCATGGCAGATTGTAAACTTAATAGAGTCTCAAAATGACCCTTCAGCGCTTCAAAGGTTTTACTGACAGCTGAATTGTCCGACGGGGTCTCCTTCTCTCTGAAAACAAGCAGACTTGGTGATTAAAAGCTGGTAAACACACTAAAGTAGTTTCATGGTAAAAATAAGTTTCTTCAGTGGGTTTCCTTGGAGGACAAAGACTGTCAGGAGGGGCTGTGAGCTGAGCTGCCGCTAGCCTGTCTTCTTATACCCAGCTTTGTTTTGTGTTAAGATTCCATCAGTGTTTTATTTTTTACAAAATGTATACCTCTGAATAAATTACAAATTTGTAAAAACAGATATGTAAACTGATCAAATAGACGATTAGTATCAGAAATCATTGGGTGCTTTTCAGCACACCAGAGTGTTTTTGCCAACTTAAGACCACTAGCCCAATCAGAATTATTTTGCTGTTTACATGATACAGTTCTATGTTACTTACGACTACTAAAAATAACACAACCATACATGCCACCACAGGTCTTATTCTAATACCATTGATGCCGTTTCCTCACTTATCTACCTCCTCCAAAGTGCAACAATCCACTGTTAGGATATTTCTGTCTGCAGTTCTTTTTAATGTGGATCAGTCATCAGCTTCATTGCATCTGTTCCTTTGTGGGCTGTGAATGTTTTCTATTCCACCATTGATGTGGACTGGAGTGTGGGCGAGTGAATGACAGTCCATCTTTGTTAAAATGGAGCATATTTTCCTGCACAAGTGAACAATATGTAAATTAAGTTCTGGGAGAATCATGAAAGGTCAACTTACAGGGAGCTGGATAACTGTTAGCACTAGCAAGGCTTGTGCCAGTATTTAGATGTTTAAGTTGGGTTGCAGCCACATTAAGTGGTTCATTTAAATATCTGACAGCATGAAATGTTGATGAACTTTTATACTGTAATATTTAAAAGATAACTCCAAAGCAGCATTATAATAAACTGCAAAAACACCTTTTTTATAAACCATTTAAAAATGTGTTTTTGACAACAGGGAGTTGTCTGTTTGCTGACTTCCTTCATTTTGTTTTCTACCTTATTTCTACTCACTTCTGTTCCTACAAGATCAGGAAGCTCCAGTGGCAAAAAGAAGGATTTGTAGTGCAGATGCTGCCTTTGCGTAATGCTTTTTGGTTCTTATCCATACTGACTGTGTGGTTTAAAAAAAAAAAAAAAAAAAAAATACAACTACAGTCCATCCTTTTGATGCTACTGGATCAGTGGTGGTAGAAAATGCTGTCACTGAACTCCTCAAATGTACTTACCAGCATTACTGCTAATATAGTTGTTATACTAACTAGGAGAAAGTCAAACACGGCCCACTATGCGGTTCATTTTTAGTTGTAATTCAGTATAAAGTAACTCCAGACAGCACAGATGGAGCTTGTTCTCTTAATTTCACATTTAGACAAATGTCACATGGCAGTCAGAACCCATAATGTTAGATTGTCCTCTCCAGGAGCCATCCCAGAATCCTTTGGGGCAGTGCGACCCGGTGATGGGAAAGGTAGCAGATAGAGCAGAGCTAAATATGGATTTGAAAGAAGTGTGTGTGTGTCCCAATACATCTCAGATCTCCATTTTCTTTTTTCCCTCATCTATCTGGGTCATATCAAACTGGCAGGGAGGGAGGAACGAGGAAAGGAAGGGAAAAGATTTGTACAGTAGGATGATATGGAGGGAAAGAATCTCGATAATCAAAGACCTTCTTCAGATAGAAACAGGATTTCATGAAGTAAATAAATTGAAGTGTATCAGTTGTAAATACCTGTGCTCTAATGGCTGCATGAATCAGTCCAGTATTGTTTTCATTACCATGGCAACACACCTTTCAGATCTTTTTAAATAAAAAGCAAACTAGGTTCAGTTGGGAAATGGTAAGAAATCCGTTTGAAACTGATGTCGCAGACATTGATAATCTAAGGCTGTTTGTTAGGATTTATTTTACTGAAAGGGATCGCTCACTCTGCTTAAATTAACTTGTCAACAGCCAGGCAGTTTGTGAAAAGCAGCTCAGCTTGCGGCCCCTCCTGAAGTCCTGCAACCACAAAACGGCCTCAAAGAAAAATGAAACTGTTTTAGTCAGTGTTTTTACACTTTGTTTTGGAGAGGAGGAGAACTGTGTTGATGGGAAATAACATCAATTGCAATTTCTTGGACATTTTATTTTCAACATCTGTCCTGCCGATTCTGATTTTGGCCAGTTCAGATTTTCTGTCTTTAAAGAACTATAATTGACAGAATGTTTTATTCATTTTTATTTAAAATGATACAGCCTTGAATTGTATGACAGACAACTTCAGCAGATGATGACTAACTGCAGCCTGAAGTTTACCTTCCTGCACACTTTGGTTTCTTCAGACCCCTCCTTTACCAGAACACTAATCCCATCAAATGATGTATATCACAGTTTTTATGGAGATTTATCAATAAAGAAATCATTGTAGGGATCTCTTCTTGGCTGTAATGCTCGGCTGTACATTTAGCAAGGGTAGTTATCATGCTCCTTGAGCAGATGGAAGACATTTTAATGTGAAAAACCTGCTGGAAACTGGAGGCAACTGAAAATAAATGTTGGTCAAAGAATCTGGCCTAAAAACTGAAAGTATTACAACTTCTGTGTTGTAAGGTTGGAAATTCTTAGCAGAAATGTTCTCTGTAATTTCTCCAGGACAAAATTTAAACATTGAGGACAAGTGTGCCTAAACTTCTAGTCAAAACAGATTGTGGTCTTCTCTGCCAATCATTTGCTTCACTTCTTCTCTGTCTCTCACTGTCTTTGAGATCAGAGCTGCTCAAACTTCCAACTCAGACCCAAAACTGAGGCACAAAGGCCTGTTTAAAAAAAAAAAAAAAAATCTGAATTTAAAATGAGTTGATAAAGGAGAAGGTTCCTAATGAGGCCCACTGTGACTTGCTGCTGTCACGGCTCAAACCGAGGCTGCATGTTTCTGGGGTACATATTTGTATTCTGGTCAGAGAAACTGAGGAAAGGCCTCAAGGAGACGCTCAAGTGTGTGTGAACATGGAGGTGCTGAGAGTAGAGGGGCTTTGTGTTGTTATAGCCACTTCTGAAATCCATGAACAACTTGAAGCACATCTCTCCTCTTCTCCCCCCAACCAGAAATACCTCTTATCTGGACTTTCTCACTTCATTCATTACAGCCAAGTTGTAGTCTTTGTTGTCTTTGTCTTGTTCCCTTGATATGCACAAAACTACCATACTGCTAAGATTGGACTGGATGAGTAATGCTTTTATATATAATCTTGGTTGGAAGTATAATTGCAGGAGCCCAGTGCTGATTAGAGCTTGCATGATTAAATGTGTCTGAAGCTGTAGGAGGCAAAATGTTTAGTTGGTGACCTTTAATTCTGCAGCTTAAACTCAGCTGTTCATTTTGCAAAATCAATGGGACAGAAAATGCAGTGTCACTTTCCTCTGCATGCGAAAGAAGATTGACCCCTCATTTTAAATAACACAAATAGTGCCTTGATTACAGTATAGTATCTCTTAATTTTGCTAATGTTTATATCAAGTCATGTTAGGAAACCCAAACCAAACCTGTACATTGATCTGGGCTTAACTGAGAAGACGTTTTTAAATAAAACTTGCAAGAGCTAAATCACAAACATTGTTTTTGAATTGTCTCCACAGGCTGTCAGTATAGGTACAAAATGTCTGGGATATTTTGTTTGTCATTTAGCACTTCTAAGAAAAACACCATGGTACTGATCTTGTAGGTAAAGTTAAAAAAAAAAATGAAGTTGCAAATATTTTGTAGCTTATTTTTTGGACATTTTCAATGTGACTTTGTCCTTTTTTTAGAAGTGTTTTTTTATAATGTCAAATAAATTTAAAAGAATATATACGTAGAGAATAAATACAGCAGTCACCTCTCCAGAGGACAGGTTTGAGTGAATTTTAGGTTTTAGTCTTAAACAGAAAGCAGCACTAACTGCTGACCTTTTGAGGTGGGTGGAGAGGGGGGTTTCTGGGGATTGAAGTTGGTTTAATTACAATTCATATTCCTGTGGTGTGCCAGTAAAGTGCTGGTCTTTCTCCCCTTCCCTTCTTATTATTCATGCGTTTCTATTTCTAATGCGAGATGTTTGATTAAAGAACATGGAACCTCTCTTCCCTCTTCTCTGTGTAATGAGTCCATCTATCTTTCTCTCCCCCTCCAGTGAGAAAGACTTGTGCGGAGCAGGACTTTGTCTGTCGAAACGGCCAATGTGTCCCGAAGCGATGGCACTGCGACGGGGAGCCGGACTGCGAGGACGGGTCCGACGAGAGTCTAGAAATCTGCCGTGAGTATCCTCTGATGGACTTCACAGGTCTAATGCAAAAGGGTTCAAGCTTAGTTGATGCTGAGAATGTTGAAATATCACTTTATTAATTTGACAGGTATCATGATACAATTTTTCTTTTTTTTTTGGTGACATGCACACATGCATTACAATAACATAACCATACCAGGAGGCGAAAAGAGAAGCACATGACACAAACAACAAAAATAAATACAGGAAATAATGATAATAAAAAAGATAGAATCATAAAAAGCAACAATATAACAGTGATATGTATCTATTCCTTACATTGTTATACAGGGCATAGAGAATCTTTAATTCTGTTATATAATTGAGCACAGGGCCCCAGACAGATACAAATTTTTCACATGAACCCCTCAAGTTGTACTTTATTTTCTCCAAATTTAAGAACATCATGAGGTCCTTTAACCAGTCCGAAGCTTTAGGGACGATGCAACACAACAACCTTAAAACATCTGTCCACATGCTTTAACTAGACAGTTAAATTAATTTAACAGTGAAGTCCCTCAGCTTGAATTATTTTTATTTTTGATGATCCAGGAAAACCTGTGGTTAACTATCTTTTGACAGGTTTAGCAAATTAAACAATATTACTGAATTAAAAAAAAAGCCTTATTTTGCATATTTGAAAAATGCTATACCTGAATGTTGGCTCAAACGTCCGCTTACTACACTAACTTTACGCTGGAGCTTTCAACCAACAAAGCTTAAGAACTGAAGTCATACATTTCTAAAGGCTGCCTCCTTAAAGTCACATATTAGTAAGTCAAATCTCTCTAAATGTTTTTCTTTGCATCATTGAACACGGATGTTTGAGCAGGCTGTAGACTTAATCGCTTAACAGGGTTTCAACTGAGAGCTGAAACATTAGCAGACCTAACATAACAGAGGTCTAACATTTAGAGGTGGGAAAAAAATGGTTTCATGTAAAATCGAGATTCTTATCCTGAGATTTTAAATCGATTCATAACTTCCAAAAAATCTATAATTTATTTTTGGCTAATCAGTCACTCCCTGCTATGTGCTAAGGCTAGCTCTTTCACTCAGTAGATTGCTAAATGGAGCAGCAAGATATTCAGCCAGTCTCGTAGATCCTGAAGTATGTATTAATTCAAAAATAGACTTTGAATCATGAATCCAGAGGTTTTGAATGGAAAATATATTCTGAATCGAAGTTGAAATCGAATCGTGAGACACCTAAAGATTCCCAGCCTTAGAACACGCTCTTCCACAGTGCTTCACAGACTAAGCCAAAGTGCTTTCAGCTTCTTTCTCCTTGAAAGTCATTTTTGATATTTAAAGAAGAATTACTGTGATACTTACAACACAAGTAAACGGCTGGAAGAGATTAAAAGCCAGCCCCCTGCCACAGCTAGCACTTATGGAAAGCTGTGGTAAATATGCCTCGGACAGGTTAAACCTGGCTGATATGAGACTTTGCTGTGTTGTTAGAAAAAGCATCACTTAATCAAGCCTCTGAAATGTTCTCAGATGAATCCCACTATTATTAACAGAGCTGGTAAAAAGCTCGACTTATGAAAATAAAGTTACATTAAAGCTGTTTCCTTAAGGTCTAAAACACTTAACCGTGTTTACTCTTTGTGCTGATTAAGAAGCTGCATACTTTATACAAACATCACTTTTCACCATGAGAGTGCAGAGTAGAGCGTTCCTGCTGTGTCTGAAAGTATCTCACTGTTGCAGAGATTCGGCGAGGCACTTAAAAGCAGCGAGGGGGAGTCCCCTGCAAGCAGTCCTGTCAAATAAATAAGTTGTTTAAGTGGAACTAAGGGGAGCTGCAGGCTTTTAAATGCTGTAACTGTGATGTGAGGTTATGCCGACGTGCTGGTTGTAGATAAGAGATGATGGAAAGTGTTTGTACTGAAGTTGCTTTTTTATCGAGTGCCTCCTGTCTTCACTGTGCCGTTGTAAAGACAAATGGACTGTGGCATCTCCTCAGGTAAAAAGATAAACATCAGAGGGAAGATGAAGCACTTCATCACACACTTGTTGGTTTGATCTCCACCCAGCTCCCTGAAAGCTTCCTGAATGCTTAGAACAGCTTTTTATGGAAAGAAGGCATCTTTTAAAAAAAAATCCATTTCAAGGTGCTGAAAGTAAATACTCCTCCTGACGTCTGAGTGCCAGGATGAAACCAGTATCCTCAGTGGAGCAGGAAGGGGGGGGGGGAGATGAGACTTTCAGCATTTTTTATTTCAAATCTTAGCTGTAGAGATGACTGTTAAATGTTAGAAGCTGTTTTAGCAAACCATTTTCAGTTACCTGTAAGAGCTCTGTTGTGTGATATTTAGCATCACTTATACACGGCAATGAGAGAACATATGGAAACGAAGAAATACAACCAATTCAAGAGCCGGACATTTAAAGGCAGGGTTGGTCATTTTCTCCAGATACACTTGATAGGATTTTGGTTGAAATTGTCTTTAGGTCCTGACAGAAATTAATAATTCAGAGCACTGAGGGAATGCTTCTTTCAAAATTCTGCTAGTTTTCAAAAGTTACCAACCCTGCCTTCAATATGAAGTAGAACTTGCAAAGCTTCTTCTCCCAGTCGGCGTAGTCATATTTGCCGAGGCAGCAGACATTTTCACACGTGCATGATAGGGTTACAGCTGTGAGTTTACACGGTGTTGACCTCCTTTGGTTTTTACTGCATTTTTTTCAACACTGCAAGTTGAGCGGAGGAAACCTGAAGGCAACATAAAGTACTTGGAGGTAGTTCTGTCTCTGGATGTTGATGTGATGACGCGAGAGTGGTGCATGTTGTGTTGTTTAGCCCCCAAAGTTATTCCAAGCCACTAGCTGTACGGTTTGCCAAGGCTTTCCAAAGTTTCTGCAGTGTTGAAATACTAAATATATTTGCTTCAGAGCCAGGAAACAGCAGCTGGATAAGCCTTTTAAAATGCAGTGGAAAATAAAGAGGAAGAGTATTTATGATCTAATATTGCTCTTATACCTCGGACAATAGAGCGCTTGTATGGCAACACAACAACTCGAAAACGTCTTTTCATCATGGTTAGATGCTTAGCTCGGAGCTGAGCTGAGGCTAACTAAAGCTCAGTTTGTTTGAACGATTTTAGTAAATCCAGGCTACCGACGAGTACTTACAAACTAAGAGGTAGTCTGCTGGAAATGTTTTGATGTTGACCAATAGCCAGGACTTTTGGAAAATTCTGATGAACATTCATCATACTGGGAAGAAAATGAGACTTGTGTAGACTGATGCATAAGTTTACTATTATGCAGAAATAACGATCAATAAAATGAAGCTTCATGATAAACAGCCTGACAAAATGCTGAATCTTATACAGCTGTGTGTGCGCTATGTGGATTCACTTCCCCTTTTCTATTTACATACAAGTGTCTTGCCGAGAGCATGAATAACAAAAAGTCCTTCAGTTCTTATTTGATTTTTCCCTCTTTAATGACAGCCGGCTGTTCTTGTAGAGATTAAACGGTACAAACTGTGAGCGTGTTTCAACCTGGAAGAGTGTGTCGGTCAACTGAAGGGCTTGAGGTGTGTGTGTGTGTGTGTGTGTGTGTGTGTGTGTGTGTGTGTGTGTGTGTGTGTGTGTGTGTGTGTGTGTGTGTGTGTGTGTGTGTGTGTGTGTGTGTGTGTGTGTGTGTGTGTGTGTGTGTGTGTGTGTGTGTGTGTGTGTGTGTGTGTGTGTGTGTGTGTGTGTGTGTGTGTGTGTGTGTGTGTGTGTGTGTGTGTGTGTGTGTGTGTGTGTGTGTGTGTGTGTGTGTGTGTGTGTGTGTGTGTGTGTGTGTGTGTGTGTGTGTGTGTGTGTCAGTCATAGCTGCCGCGGCGTACGTGCAGGTCAACCATGCCACTATAGCTGTTATATCACTGTACTGTTTGACCAGCTGTTACACATGACTTGGCAGCAGTGAGTGGAATCTAAAGAGAGTGTGAGTAAGTGTGTGTCTGCTGACACTGTCTGTTGTGTTTACATCAGCTTTCTTGCGTCAGTGTTCAATTAAGGAAGTGAGCAGTGTTCTCTGTTCACTTTGACATCCTGGTTTTCTTTTCCTCAATGACTGAGTCCTTCATTAACACCTAAAGTAACAACCTGCGCTTCTTAAGAACGTCTGTGTTTTGCTTACACATGCTCACACTGTTGCTGTCAGCGGGAAAATCTTTATCTTTGTAAACTCCTGTAAAAAAACAGCAGTGAGAAGAACCAAGAAGAAGAACACCTGCTCAAATTTCTAATGACGTTACACTCGCTGCACATTTATTTATTTAATGATTGATTTTTGTTCTTCAACTTGCAGCTCTTTTCCCTTTTCATGTCCTGCCTTTACAACATGTATCTGATGAATCATGTGAAGGAATACATTGTGTTTTGTGTGTTTCCATGCAGACATGAGGACGTGTCGAGTGAACGAGTTCAGCTGCGGAGCAGGCTCCACTCAGTGCATCCCCGTCTTCTGGAAATGTGACGGAGAGAGGGACTGTGACAACGAAGAGGATGAGGTCAACTGTGGTAAGAGGACATGCACAACAACAACAACATGGGAGGGATGTTTAGTATGGATCTCACTCAGAATTTAGAATGATCCTCTTAGTTAAAATATAACACACACTTGACAATAACTCAACAGACTTTGTTTCAAAGAAAACAGGAAATTACAAACATTGAACTCTGTGATAAATGTGTCAGTGTTTCTGTCGAGATCAGTAAGTGGAGATGTCCACATCATGCCAGTGATCGATGAGCACTTAAAGGCAAAGGGCCATGATGACCTATGATGTGGTCACAAGATAATTTCTGACCTTGAGTTGATGAGGAATGCCTGAACGCACCATTTAACAACTGACCTGACAATAAGCACAATGGATTATTGGATCCTGATAGCTCAAATAAACAAGGCCACATTTCTCAGTTGGATTTTGGGAGGACTTCAACTTTCCATCTCATGTCCTTGGAGCTCCTCGTTTACTGAATGATTTTCATAATGAATCATTCAGTACAGTATACTCTCAGAAGCTTCATCTGTGATCTACAGCCTTTTTCATGCTTCACCCTGTGTAGGCTCTCTAAAACAGGACAGGCATCACCTCTGAAATATTGTATAGTAAAACTGCTGATCTTTACTTATCAAGCTAAAAAAAACAGTTTTCATCCCGACATGTTCAGTAATTTTCATCCTCTGGCTGTTTGTCCAAAACGTTGTTAAAAAAAAAAAACAAAGTTGGAGTCTTTATTGGAAGGCATGTTATTCTGCGTGGACAAACTCAAATCATTGGATCTGCCAGAAAATGCTGAAGCATTCTGAAGTATGCTGCACATTTTTCATCCCGATCTTTTCATTCAATTATTTTCTACACCTCTGCAGTGTTTACCTGCTCCTCCTGGGGGACTCGGGCGTCTTTAAACGTTTTAAAGGAGAGAAGGAAAGGGTTAATTCAAGTAAAAACGATTCAAAATGGAGGACAATGTTAAGCCAAACAACTCAATGAAGAATGTTGATTACTGTCAATGTCTAACATATTGTACTGTTTGCACAAATGTCAAGTGATGTAATCCACTGTGTAAGTCTTTGAGCTTAAACAGTCTGATGAGTAAGCACATGACATTACTGTTTGGTTTAACTGATACTGCAGAAAACATCAGACATCCCCAACTCTGATTGAAGATGCTAATCAGAGAAATGAGCTGCTGCTACAGGCAGGAGACGGTTTTTAATCGTCTTCTTGTTTGCTCACATTAGATTCAGCGCTCCTGATGTCCTCTGACCTCTGTGTCGCAGGATGTTTTACTGCGTTGTTGTTGTGACGCATGTTTTCAAGCTGTGACCTTAAACCCCACATACTTGATAAAATGAGCTGCCACTGGTCCATGTTAGTATGAAGCTTACATTCTCTAAATCATGCAGGCTTGTAAGACTCTCTCCTGTTTTATTATAAAGGGAAACATGATACGATCAGTATGTATGGAAACACATTTACCCATGAAGTGTATAGAAACGAGGCAAGGTCACAGTGTGTGGACACGAGGCATCCATCTCTGTGCAGTTTTTGACCTCTTGTAGGTGAATTCTTTTCTTTTGCAAAATGATCCACATGCACAACACATGGGTAACATGATAGCACAGTCCTGTCATGGAGCAGCAGCACTAGTTGAAGGTTTGTGTTGTGAATGTGAAAAGAGATAATGAAAGGTTCATTCTCCTTCATATGGAATACATTCTCTAAGATGATAAATTATCTTTTCAAATGGCTTGTTTGACCTTGTGTCTGCAGCAGCTGTTACCTGTTAACACTCTCACAGCGCTCACATTTTATTTCTCTTCCCCTATCCTCCTCTTCCAGGTAATGTCACCTGTGCGCCAAACGAGTTCACGTGTGCCAGCGGCCGCTGCATCTCCAGGAACTTTGTATGTAACGGTGAGGACGACTGCGGTGACGGCTCTGACGAAGTCGAGTGTGCTCCGTCCTCCTGCGGTCCCAGTGAGTTCCAGTGTGGGAACTCATCGTGCATCCCGGCCAGCTGGGTGTGTGACGACGATGTGGACTGCCAGGTAAGAGAGGGAGAAACCCCCAAAAACTAAAGACATCTATACGCTTTCAGAATATTTACTGACATGTACATAATCTTCAGACTAATAATCCTTACAGAAACTCTTGGCCTGCAAAGATTTTAACATGAATTTACAGTGTCTGAAAGATGAGAAGGAATGGTTAATGGATTTGAGCTTGTATAGATCTTCTCTAGTCATCCGACTGCTCAAAGCACTTTTATATCACAGTTCTCATTCACACACTGATGGCAGAGGCTGCTATGTAATGTGTCCATCAGTTTTATTAACTAATCCATTGATACACATTCACACATTGATGTTGCAGCCAAGCCAAACACTTTCACATGTGACTACAGGAGCTGGGAACAAACCCCCGGCCTTCTGGTTGAGCCATGACCGACACTCTACTACTGAGCCATGGATAGCTGTAATTTGAAGTTACTGCACCTGTTTAAACCTGCACAAACCTCCACACATCCAAAACTTGGCAACATGTTCTGATAAACGAGTAGAGCCTACTATAATAAGATTTGTAATAAGGGTAGGTATAATTAGCTAAAGCTTCAGCCTACACATTTAAGGTCAAATTTTTCTTCCTGTCTTTTCTTGAAAGCAAATGCCTTTATTTATTTTCTTCTACTATTTCTACACGTATTCCTAATGGTAAACTGTATATGTGGACTGCAGTAAATGACTACTGCTACATATATGAACCTGGTTTTGAAGACACTATTATCACTCTTGTGTTTTGATATTTTCCAACTGTGGGTAGTGTTATGATCTTGTTGTTATAGTTGAGACCTTCAGGTAGAAAAGGCTGTGTCCCCTCTAGACTAAAAACATGTGGCTAGATCTGCTGAAGGTTCAATTCAAAGTATAAATTGTTGTCACAGCTGAACAAACATGTTATTCATGCTAAGTTGCTTGACGTCTGACTCTAAATATCCTCACTCTGAACTTGAACCTGATGTGCGTATTGAAGCAGAACAAGATTATCTGTATCTGTCACCGTTTCACCTCCGGGCAAGAGAAAGCAGTCTGAGCATGACCTGTGGTGACCTCTGCTTTTACTGCCTTTCTACTCTTTACTTAATAAAACTGTCAATATGTATTCAACCTTCCCTCTGGGTAGGATTTTTTTGAAGTTCAGTTTTAAAAAAACTCTGGTCGTCATAGTTAAAGCTTGATTCCTTATCTGCAAACTTTAGCTCGCTAGCTGCCAAAAATCTTTTCAGGTTAAATTATGACAGATTAAAAACACGGGACATGAAAAACACTGAGAAAGTATCCAGATGGAAACATTTTAATGACTGATAATAACTCTTAATCGTTTGCATCTTACAGGTAAAACAGGATTCAGGCCTTTTGATGTGGTGCTGAACAGAAAAAGGAACGCTTAGTTTTAACATTTAATTAAATTGCCCAATCTGATTCAACTGATACAAATCTGAGCAAAGATGTAGTTGCTGAATAAAATACAAAACGATCGTTGTGGAATTAACTGGCATGAAAGAAAACCCTGTGCATACACACACACACGCATGGACACGCACACACACAGGTTCTGCAAGCTCGATCTTTACAACACCCGTTGGTTATTGACCTGCCGTATACACACACATGCATGGACACTCTCCACACACACTCTGACACTCCTCACACATTTTTCACACATGGCAGAACGGGTTCCACTGAGTTTGCGATTTGCTGCGTACCTGTTAATTGGCTGTGTGGTTATCACTGCCGGCCACACAGGAATACTGACGCAAACGCTCACACCCACAAATATTTAAATTGCTGTGTTCAGTTGGAAGGTCATTGTTATTCCTTGTCACACACACCCATCCGGCCCTGCGTCAGTGTGAACGGTCATGGAGCTTCAGACAAACACACACACACACACACACACACACACACAGACACACACATATATTCTCACACTCCATTAATCTGCTCCCACATGAGTCAGGCACTTTCTGAGATGATGAAAGTGTGAGAAACGCTTCCTGCTGCTCCCCCTGATCCCATTCTGTCACATTGTCTGGTCTAAATTCTAATTAAAGAGGTAATCATCTGCGATATCTGGGCCCTAAAAGCTCTCTGCCTTGTCATTTGTGCCCCGGACATCCCCCTCATCAGCTGTCAGTCAAAACGAGTGGGCGACTGATTTCACTATTCTGTCTCTTCGCTCTTTCCTTTATGTGGCTGATTTCTGTGCAAAGCCAGGAAACCTCTTCAAACATCTGATACTGTATTTGTTGGAAACATTTTACTATTAGACACATTTTCTACAGAGGTATTTTAGATGACGTACTGACAATCTTTGTAATGATAGTGTTTTGAATTTTGAAAGCCTGTTTTTTTTTTTTTTTTTTTTTTTTTTTTTTTGATGAGGTGTATTATCTAATCAAAATGTTTTTGTAATTGGCTGACAGCCTCATAGCAGGTTTTAAATCATTCATTTGTACTTATCTACCCATTTTATATGAATATTATGGTATTCATTTTGATTAGATTTAATATAACCTTATTTTGGTGTGAAATGTTTCTCGCGACACAGCGGCTCCATCGCAACATAAAAATTACAGACAAGATGGAAAGATACAAACATCTGACTCAACATTCAGAGGCCTTAAACGTGCTTCAATCTGGGTTTCAGCGCTGCATTCAATTTGAGTATTGGTGAACAGAAGAGTGTTTCAGTCTGACTTTATTAAAACGTGGGACCCTGTATCTCCTATTTGGTGGTCATAGTTCATATTCTGTTTTCAGAGTGTGGTGAGGATCAGGGGCGACGCGGTTATCCAGCCTTAGCATGTTTTTATCATAGGATCTGTCGGCCTACGATCTTTAAGCAGATATTTAACTTTTGAAGCAGTTTAGACTTTAAAGTAGTGGACAGACACGTGTACCATGAGGTGTTTCAATACTGTAGGACACAAAGACTCAAAGGAAATAAAGAACAAAAAAACAATTACAGAATGGCTACCAGTAGCATGTAATTAGACACTTGTAGCTCTGTGTTGAAGAGCAGAGACTTTAATAAATAGGAGTGGGAATCGCAGGGTATCTCATGATACAGTAAGAACATGTGATACGTGGTATGTAAAATGACGATACAGCGATTCTGCAATAATTAATCTTTGCATGACAATCGTATATAAAAATACTGTATGATGTCACGATATCTTATTGACTAAAGATGTATAAAATGCCTCTTAAAAAAAAAAAAAAAAAAGAGCAGGATGAATGTGTCTATTCAGTGCAGTTTAGTGTCAGCTGTGAAAAGAAAAACGTGTTATGAGGTTACCCTCTCTGATATTATCCAAGTCTTATCTTCTCCTTCCCCTAAAAAAAGAAGGCAGCACGCCTCGGTGTGAAGGCTGAATCTGTAGGCAAATGAAAAGATTTGAGGTTTTGCAAGAGTTGTGTTTGAGTTGAATCACTCACTGGCATTTGGGCAGGTTTTGTCTGTATGCAGGAAAATAGTCTCTATAGAGAACAAAAGAGGCAGAATGCTGCAGCTGTTATGCAATCCTGAATCCCACTGGTGATCCCTTGATGATAGTTTAGCTTTTATCGAATACTATAAACAGACATATGTCTGCAGGGGTAGCTAACAATAACAATATGCCCCAAGTCATCACCTCTCATCTGCAGCTCAATCAAGTTATGAGTTGGGCTGTAAACAAAAACCATGCATGGCAATGAAAGGCTGGCTTGACGTCCTCTAAGCTAACCTCTGGCTACACCTGAAGCCTTGGAAAGTTAGCGTTTGCTCCCAAAGGCTACATCGTTGTCAGACAATAGCAGTTTAGTTTCAGGAGAAGAATTGTTTTCAGTCAGAAGGTCATACCAGATAAAAACTCTTCTCTTTGCTTCAGTGTTTTTATTTTACCAACTGGTCTTTAGAAGTCGTTTATTCACAGACTCCCCGCCAGGAGAAGTCGACTAGAGAGAAAAGTGCTGATGAAAGCTAATTAACTGTAAATGGAAAACCTGTCACTGAGTGCTGGAGTCAATGTGACTCATCTAGTTTATATGATCCTACTATCTGTCAAATTACGAGCAGCATCTGTTTCCCCATCTAAAGCAATAACTCTCGAGCGTTATTGTTGTTCTTCAGGAAACGCATGATCAGATGCTTTTTCCTTTCTCTGAAACTTCTGGTTCTCCTGCTCCAACAGGACCAGTCAGACGAGTCACCGTCTCGATGCGGACGTCACCCAACGCCGCCGGCCAAGTGTTCGTCCAGTGAGATGCAGTGTCGCTCAGGAGAGTGTATTCACAAGAAGTGGAGGTGTGACGGAGACCCTGACTGCAAGGACGGCAGTGATGAAGCCAACTGTCGTACGTACACACAAACCATCAGCGACACATTTAGAAAGGATGATTTTAGGGTCCCATTAGTCACTATTACATTTAGGGTTGTATGTACTATGAAGATAATCTAGACAAGTGCAATGTCAGTTACGTTTAATGTCCGTCTAATGAGTTCACTTCGAGAAGATGTTTTGAAATCGATCTTTCGGAAAGCAGATTTAAATTTGAACCATAACCAAAAAATGACCGGTTTTGTCATGTACCACACATGGTTTGTTTAAAGCAGTTTTAAAAGAACCACATTGTTGAATGTCATGGTTTCATTCATCCAAAACACTAAGCTAAAGAGAGTTAATATTAGGGGGAAAGCACACACTGGAGCAGTGGTCCATTATGTGCCGCACTCTCATTCCATTTGGCGTTAATTACTTGATAAACAATCTTCAATTAACCACCTGTCCGCTTATCTCTAAATGAGTATATGCTGTAATGAGGTTACAGCGATTAGTGTCATTGTGAATTCCTGCAACACGAGGTGATGTCTCCGGTGTGGGGTTTAGCACAGTCGATCAGACATGAACAAACTGAAGCTGGAAACAGAGAATGATACACTACAGGAGTGATTAATTCACTGGTAAAATTTTAAAATGACTGTTTGAGCTCAATGTGTAACTCGAGCTGTATGTGTGTCTTTTGCAGCCGTGCGTACCTGTGGAGCCGATCAGTTCAAATGCGATGATGGAAACTGCATCCTGGGTGGCAGACAGTGTAACGGCCTCAGAGACTGCAGGGACGGCTCAGACGAACTCAACTGCAAAAACAGTATGTCCTCTCTTTATGCATGTTTGCAGCCTAACAAACAAAATTATTTTGAATTATCCTGAGGCCATGCCGGTTGAAGAAACATTAGTTTTTGTTCTGTGATGGTCTTTGGATTTGTCTGTTTCTTTTGTAACATCTCACCTCAGGCTGCTCCGAGCTTCAGAAGCTGCGTGCACACTGTCAGTGTAGATGATGTTGGCATCAATAGGTCTTTAAAACCAGTTTTGTTCTACAAATAAAAAATATGTAATATGTTTGTCCGGCTTTCTATTTAACCCTCTAATGGTGTTCTAGTGCTCAGTTTACAATGTGTGTTCATACAGATTTATAAATGTCTACCCGCTTCCTGCTTATCACCTTTCCTTCACTCCAAGTTTTGCTCAGTTTTTTAGGGTAGAGGTGGTTAGAAGTTAAACATCCATGGCTTTGGAAACAAACTTTGAGAGCTTTACGTTTGAATAACCCATTTGAATAGTTAAAATATTTTAGCAAAATTGTTATTTGTGAGAAGGCATCTCATTTCTTTTAATGAGATGACAATATCAATATTACTTTGCTTTATGAAGTATGTTAGACAGATCCTGAGGGCTTTTAGATTCGGCTTAGGAAACTGCTAGTTAGGCTTATATGACATGGTGTTGAAAGACGATTTAAAAACATTCATATTCCTCCACAGTGACTCAGTGCAACGGGCCGGATAAGTTCAAGTGTCGCAGCGGGGAATGCATCGAGATGAGCAAAGTTTGCAACAAGGCCCGCGACTGTCCCGACTGGAGCGACGAACCCATCAAGGAATGCAGTGAGTAATGCAAGAAACATTTCCATGTCTTAGTAATGACGTTATTTCTTTGGGCCCAGCGGTTTCTCTGTAGTGTTTACTTAAATTTAAAAAAAGACATTACACTGCGGCTATTTTCTAAAAACAACTCTTTTAATAGGAATTGTTTTTTAATACTACTCTCCTCATTTGCAAGTTGTCAATGTGTTTTTGTCAAACAGTAACACGCAGTGACCCTTTTCTACTTCATGGAGTCTTTTAGTCTTAGTCTGCGTTCACACTGCATGCACTAATGCTCAGTTCTGATATTTTGTTTTTGTTTGGCTGTCACATTGCTTTTTAAATGTTGCCTCTATCCTACTCATGTGAGGATCGACATGTATGTATGACAGTGGCCCAAATCTGATTTGAACAGATCAGATTCCATGTGACTGTGTGCTATTCACACTGTCACAAAAAATGATCTGATCTAAGTCACATACTGTAGGAGCCAACTACATAAGATTCAGGTCACTATTGGCTGCAGGTTGAACACAGCCTTGATGATGTTACCTGGTTTAATACCAGCGTGTTTGACATCTCAGTTTGGTCATTTTTTTTCAGCAAGCTAAAAAAAAGGATGTTTTAGTGTCATACATGAGGCAATCCCTGCTGGCAGTTGCAGGAAAGCTTGGATTTCTTCCAAGACAAATAGATGATGTTTTAAGTATTGGAGCATCCTTTCCTGCAGAGTGGCAGAACACACACGGATCATTTAATATGTTTGAGTTTCGTAAATCAGCATATTTGTACTTGAATCTGTGTAAATAGGGAAGTTCTTGTGGCTGTGATCACGGTATGTCTCTGCAAATGTCACTGGTTAAAAAAAGTCTCTGGGCGTTCGTAGCTTGCCGCTCTAAATGTCAGCATCATGAAAAAGGCTTGAACTAGAAATCCTTAAACTTGAGTCCCAAGGATCCAGGTTGTGTTATTTCATGCTTCACACTGCATGAAAGCAAAGCAAAGAAAGAGGCTCTCACATTTGGATGTGTCAGAGCAGGTCACTTAGCAAGTGTTAAAGAAACAAATTGTTTTTTTTAGAAAGTTCACATGTAGGCAGGAAAGTGTCTGTGAGTGACCTTCCTCTCTGTGTCACATTGATTTCTGTTGATAATATCTGGCTTTTAATATAAATGCTGCCCCATGCAGCTTTGATGCAGTTCAGCGTGAGAGAACGAGTAGTGCGTCTGAATAATTCTCTTTCATGGATCAAAGAACTCGACCAGATTATTCTTTCCTCAAGCAGAATACTAAACATGCCAGTTTGAGTTGTACTACACTTCAGTCACAGACTCATATTGACATGTTGTGTTTACAGTCAGTTTAAAGAGAGACTCCAGAACAAATATTGTTTTTCTTTACAGGAGTAAATGTTGGTCAAAGTATGACCCTCATAATCCTCTTTCAATTATAGGTCCACTGACTGCCTAAAGATTCTTGGGTTGTTTATATGAAGAACAAAAAATAATTTTTAAGCATGTTAATTATGTATGCTCCAATTTTAAAGAACTTCATACTGCTAGCTCTTACCTGTTCAACTTACAGATTCAATCAGGCACACACAAAATGAGAAAGTATAACTTATTTCATTGTGAAATATTCCTATCTGTGAGCATAACATCAGCATCAGCTTGGTTTCCATCTGATCTTTTCTTGTTCTTTTTTTTTGCCTTCTGTCTAAACTGTTATTGCAGATCTCAAACCACAGAGCTCAGATGCTGTACATATTTAAACTGACTACAAGTGTGATAGAATTACTCTTATTCACAATACTGTCCTCTTGGCTATCATGTGTACACTCTGGCTTTGTGTCCTCCATGTGCCTCAGATCTGAACGAGTGTCTCCTGAACAATGGCGGCTGCTCGCACATCTGCAAAGACATGGTGATCGGCTTCGAGTGTGACTGCACACCTGGACTACAGCTCATCGACCACAAGACCTGTGGAGGTGGGTGATTTTGACCTTAGAGCCATATTTAATGACAAAAAAACAATTTATAAATGAATTTAAATCACTGCATCATTTTTCAGTTTAGCATTATACGTTAAAGCTGCTGTGAGAAACTTTCTTCTGAATGCTGTAACTAGTCCTTTCAGGATTAGCAGAGGTAACAAGGATTTAAAATCACAAAATAGAAACAGTCTGTGTTGTTGCTTATGATCTCATTTGCCTCTGTAGGTGATAAAGAGGCATTGGTGGTTAATAACAGTTTGTTTCATGAATGGTTAAAACTCGTTGCAGGGACTTTAAAGGTCACATATTATTCTCCTTTTCAATAACTTTAAATAAGTCTCAGAGCTCCTCAAAACATGTGTGAAGTTTCTTGTTCTAAATCCACTCTGATCCTGTATGTGATCATGTCTATAAACCCCTCTATTTCAGCCCTGCTCAGAACAGGCCGTTGCTGTGTCTGTACCTTTAAATATGTAAATGAGCTGTGTCTGACCACGCCCCCTCTCTGGAAGGGCTTGGGTGTCTCGGGCTTTCTCGCTCCATGTCCTATTGTTTACAGTGAGAAGGCAGACTCAGAGGACAGAACAAACATCTAGCTGTGGGAGTGTCACCCACCTGGGGGAGGGGCTACTGCCCTCTATGGTGTCACAAAAAGATGGAGAGGATGGACTTTCTATCATAATTTGGGAGTTTGAAGACATATTAGGGACACATATTAGTATTAGTGGTAAATTGTCCATCAATCCATTATCGATACCACTTTTTCTCGTTCTGGAGCCGATCCCAGCTGCCATTGGGTGAGAGGCGAGGTTACACCCTGGACTGTTCGCCAGTCAATGTGGTCAAGTGTATTTTGCATAATATGACTTTCAAGGAAGAAACTGTTTGAAGTGCCCAGGTAATCTTTTCACTGACATTACTAATATATTTAACTACAACCAAAGCTTCATTAAAGGACTTGAAAATGATTAACCTGTTTAAAAATATGCTAAAGTATGCTTTTCAGTTCAGCTCAGGCCTTGTTTGCTGACATGCCTTTTGTTTCTTGGCAACAATAAACCTCCATTGTTTGGAAAGTGTCTGCTTCAAACACTTGAAATTAAATTCCTGAAGAATGGCCTTGTCAGGTAGTTTTTCTGTGTGTTTGGAAAGAAAACAACAACACTTGGGAGACTTAAAGGCTTTAGATGTGTTGCTATTTTAGTTTCTTAGAAATCCCCAATCCAGCAGGCTGGGTCAGTCGTACTGTACACTGGTGTTATAAGTGGGATATAATTCCCTTATGAGTGGAACATGTTCTTATTGTGCACTGCTGGCCTCTGAGGGGATCAGTGGGTAGCGTGATCGGCTGTTGGCTGATCTGACACAGTTTTGATACGGAGCCAATCTTGGCCTCGAACACCGCTGTTGATATTGAGAAATGTGTGTAATCCCATCTGGAATGAACCCCAGTAGTGCTAAATCTGCTCCCAAGTGTAAAGTACAAATGCCTGAAAACATTTTTATATTTACATTGAATTCTGAGGAGAGCAGCTCGTTGCATTACAGTGTTCTGACAAAACACCTACGGCATCTTTGGAAAAGCGACTTGAAGCACTCAGTAGTTTGATTAATCAAACATGTCAGTTACCTGCTGTATCTCGATCTCCTCCTTGTTCCCTCTCTCTTTCTGCAGACATTAATGAGTGTGTGAACCCCGGCATCTGCAGCCAGATCTGCATCAACCTGAAGGGAGGATACAAGTGTGAGTGCCACAACGGCTACCAGATGGATCCGACCACCGGAGTCTGCAAGGCTGTTGGTGAGTCAACAGCAGCTCTCAACCTCAAAGAGGAAGTGTAGTCAACTATGACCATGAATATGTACTGATCTTATCTTCATGTCTCAGGCTCTTCACTTGTAGTTATATAATAGTTATATATCAAAAAGTATGTCTTTCAAATTCCTTAGATGATAAGACTTTAGTTATTGTGATGAAATATGACGCACTATTTCCTCCTACTGCTGCTACACTCGGGCAGTTTCACAAAGGTTGTAGAACGTGGTTTTTAATACTTGCATATCTCACATTCATCAAAGTCAGGTAGATGATGCAACGGTTTCCATCTTGACCTTCAGTTTAGATTTTGATTAAGACTGCTTAGTTTTAGAAGGGTGAAGTTACTGACCCGGCAACTCAATTTGCTTTGCAGCTATGAAAAAAATTTCAAAATTAACGAAAACATCCTTGAAAACTATGAGCGGCCTTAGGATACTTTTTGATGTGAATTAGTTTACTGTTTGACAATTTGTACTGCAAGGACGATCAAGCTCCCAAAGTTAGTCTGAGTCTTGAATCACACCTGTGGTCAGAAAGTAGGTAAAGTTTAAGTTGGATCATCTTCTCAGATCAGACCCTGAAGTCAAGACAGGTTTTCTCAATCTGCTAATGTTCAGACTGGAGGAAATCTGTGCTTGGATGTTGACACTAGGCCCAATTGTCGAGTGCTATGCTTAAACACGATTACAATAAATTGAGTTTTGTCCTTAGAAGAAGAATAAGCTACTTTTTGATCCAGTAGATGTCGCCAATGAGCTACAGCAAAACAAACCACCTCCTTTATTTTTGAGACGCCGCTCTCCTCCAGCGACACACCTCCAACCCCCCCTCCCCTCGTGTTCACACAAAGGACTTATCAATTAGAACACACCATAATTAAGCACAATTGGTGGACAAAGTTGTCCTTGGCTCGAGATGCAATCACCTGTGTTCTGCATTTTTGTGTTAGCAGGCTAATGTTAGCACACTTAGGTTAGCTCATAGCTTCACATTGCATGTAAAGTTGAGACAGAATGACTGTGATCTAAAGACACTTATGTGACATCCAAATAAGCACGGAGTATGTTATTCTTCTTTCTCTAGTCCTTAAAACAGCTTTAATACGTCCATGTAAACACGGCTCCAACAACAGCACAGCCAGCGGGACTTAAGCTTCTCACTCATACAGTATTAGACAGTCATGACTGAGACATTTACATAACATATACTTCTTGTCTGCTGTATTCATGTGTAAAATGTTGCACATTCTTGCTCTCGTATCAAAGGTTAATTTATTTGAGGTTGCAACAGCCATCCAAGAAACAGAGTGAATCATCAGAAAGTTATCAACACTGGATGAAATGGGTTCTATGATTAATTAAAAAGAAGCAAAGTTTCTGCTGAAATGAAAAGACAATCTGACAAGTGTTCTGGAACGAGAGCTCAGGAAAAGTGAGAGTGACGTTTTTGTTGTTTCTGCTTGAGATGAAAATGTCATCCCTTTTGTGTGGTGGTCACATGTGTGATTGTTTCTGCAGTGAAAAGACTTTATTGTGTTGCTTGTTGACAAAGACCCTCACTGTTGTTTAGACTGCTAGTGTTTTGTTTTTCCAATGATTTGTTTTCATATCCTTTAAATCATAATCGACATCATTTCTCTTCATGTCATGCTTAAAAGTCGCTGTAATCTTCTTAAAGGTCACTTATTGGAACATTTATTCCTTGTAAAGAGCATGTACAAAGCACATATACCAAAGGCTTTTTATACTGTTCACATAAGAACGAGGTGTCTGTCCTGTCCTCAGGTAAGGAGCCCTGTCTGATCTTCACTAACCGCCGTGACATCCGTCGTCTGGGTCTGGAGAGGAAGGAGTACACTCAGATTGTGGAGCAGCAGAGGAACACCGTGGCGCTGGATGCAGACTTTGACCAGCAGATGATTTTCTGGGCTGACCTGGGACAGAAAGCCATTTATAGGTTTGTCACAAACACACAGCTCGAGTTCATCGTATATTATTTGAGTCTTCACATTTGAGTTTCCTTGAGTCATCTCCTTTGTTATCTGCAGCACTGTTCTGGACAAACGAGGAGACGTGGGCACCCACCACAAAGTGATAGACAACGTCCAGACCCCCGTGGGAGTGGCTGTGGACTGGATCTATAAGAACTTGTACTGGTCCGATCTCAGCACCAAAACGATTTCTGTTGCCAACTTCAATGGAACCAAGCAGAAAGTTCTGTTCAACAGAGGCCTCAAAGAGCCGGCGTCCATCGCTGTGGATCCGCTGTCTGGGTAGGTGGAGAGGTTGTGGCTTAATCTCAGGAAAAAATGTTTATCTCCAATTCACAATGCACTTTCAAAAATCTGTCCTGTAGCTTTCTCTACTGGTCTGACTGGGGAGAACCAGCAAAGATTGAGAAATCTGGTATGAACGGAGTGGACAGACAGGTTCTGGTGGCTTCAGACATTCAGTGGCCAAATGGAATCACCCTGGGTAGGAACACACACACACAGTCTGGAGAACTAATAATTCATTGCCTGTGTGATCACATCATCACTGTACATTTTTATTTCTCTGCTGATTCATCAAATTCAATCTATCACTATTAGGAGTCACGAGAAGGCTTCTAACATTTTCTGTTGAGATTTTAAAAATCTTGTAGTGTTGGCCAGGCCTCAAACATTTCAGCCACCAACACACATAGCATCAGGTTTTATTGTCCTTCCCTTCGCCTCCCTCTCCCTCTTCAGAGGACGTGACTATTATTTCCCAAAAATCATAAGAGTTTCAGCGCCCACTTGTTAGGAAACTTACCAGAATATAAATGTGCCCAGAATCACTGCAGTGTCTGTAAATTGGCCGGCTCCATTTGTACTGTGTGTTTCATTCTCTGTAGGTGGTCAGGAAAAATCGAGGTAATCACTGAAGCATATTTTAGAAAGCCTGTCCAATAAAAAAAGAAAAAAAAAAAGGTACTCAGCAGTGCTTTGCAATTCTCAAAGCTGCCAAGTGCCTGAGGCAGAGTTAGACAATATTCAAATCCATGTTTTCTGTAATGTATGCACCACTGAAGGGTAAATGTATTGCTTTGTTAGATAAATAAAACATTGGGAACTAAACTGGCAGCACTGCTAACATGAAAGCTCTCTGAAAACACAACCATTGAGTTACTGGATTGATAGTAAATGATCTAAAAAAAAAAGACTGTCTTTATCAATCAATCTTTATTTGTATAGTGCCAATTCATAAGTGTTCTCTAGAGACACTTTACAAAACCTTACTCACTGTTATGTTACAAAGACCCAATGTTAATCCATCATGAGCACTTTAGATAAGTTTAAGTGGCAAGTAAAAACGTCCTTTTAAGAGGCAGAAGTCTTGGTCAAATCCAGACTCATGATGAAAATGGGATAAGATGCAGGAAGAAAGATGGGGACATACCACTTCCTCTGGTTTTATTGTTTGTTTTTATTGAGGCATTTTCCTCTTCTGCGAATAACTTATCTGAATACTAAACAATTTCAGACGCTCTGCCATTTAAAATGTTGAAGTATTTAAGTTGTTTAAAGGTTGAAGCAATGTGTTTGTCAGTGCTGCATTTTAATTTGTCTTTCAAATTAAATACCTTCAGTTTGGGCTGGAGGGCCTGAAAATAAAATCTGATATGTTCACACAAAACTAGATTTACCATTTTGGTTGATTTTAAAAAATAAATAAAAAAAATTCCCCCTTCAAAACAAAATATAAATAACAGACAGGACTAACCCCTTCTAAGGTTAATAAAGTAACCTGTGTTTCCCTTTAGAGGTTGAAATGAAAGCTGTAAACTTGTATTTTAAAGTGCACTATGCCATTTCAGGCTGCAGCAAAAGTAAAGATGAGGCAGAGAAAGTTCAGCAAATGACCTGTGGATGATTATCACAGACCTGCTGCTAACCAGCCACTCTCTGTAGGAAGTAAACCAGGGGGTGAGATGTGAACTACGGGAGCCCGAGGGGGGGAGCGGGGAGTAAGTTAAAGAGAATATCCAGATTTTCCATTTTTATCGATCAAATCAGTTTATCGAGCTGTCCCTTCTTCAATGGTGCTATACTGTGAACACTGCTTGATATCTAACCACACCGTTGTTTTATTCAGTCCATACTATCGAACACCCGACCATATCAAACAATGAAATGCTTCTTCCTCCTTCTGAACTTCACTCTGCACACTGAAAAAGCCATCGATTCCACCTTGTTAATGAAATGTTGTATTGATTTGATTCTTTTCTCTCCCTCTCCTCGTATCTCTCCCGCCATGCTCCATCTTCCTTCTCTCCTATTTGACTTAATTCTTTCCCCCGTCTGCTCTTTTCTTCTCATATCCTGTCAACACACTTTGATTCTTCTCTTTTATCATTCTGATCTTTGATACTTATTTTTTTCCCCTCTTGTCTTTTTCTGTCCTCTCTCTGCTCTCTCTTCTTCTGTTTATTTCTTCTATCTCTCATCTTTCATTTCTCACCTAACCCTTTCTTCTCCCGTTTCTTCATACTCTTCATCTTCCTCACAGATCTGATCAAAGGCAGGCTGTACTGGGTCGACTCTAAGCTGCACATGCTCTGTAGCGTCGACCTGAATGGAGACAACAGGAAGAAAGTCCTCCAGTCCTCGGATTATCTGGCTCATCCCTTCGCTCTCACCGTGTTTGAGGTATTACAGATTTTACATTCTCTCCTGCACATGTATAGTTATCGTCTCAGACAAAAAAAAGACTCAAGACTTCTGATTCACCTGAATATGTTTCAAATTTGATCTTGATTTATAGATACATTTTTTTTTTTTCTCACATGAAGTTCAGCTCGCTCATTTTAACGATCCTTTTCACTTCTCAAAGAGAATAATAAGGATCCACATGTATGGTTTTTATCTTAGCTTTTAGCCTCTTTACTAATTAACCAGGCAAACTCTTGGGTGAACATTTGTTTCTGTTATGATACAGCCATTATTTGTAGATGGTTAAAGCTTTTCTCTACTGTTACTGTCCTGTGTGAGGGACTTGGAAATGTCTCAGTGTGCCATGTAATCAAATGGTAAATGGACTTGAGCTTGTATAACGCTTTTCTAGTCTTCAGATTACTGAAAGCGCTTTAACACCACAGGTCACACCTATACATTCACACACTGATGGTAGAGGTTGATGTGTAAAGTGACCATCATTAATGATACTTCACCCATTTGCATTAAGCTTTGCATCATTAGAAACCTGGTAGTATTTTTGAATGGTCGTACATCCCGCCCTCATTTTCCTCTGAGATGGGAAATCTTTGTATTTCTTGTCTGCAAAAGGAGCCTCCGATTACGCAAAAATCTTAATTTTGCGTCATCGGCAGCTGTTGTGGTTAGCAGGGTCAAACTACAACACTAGTTCCTCATATTTTGAGGAAGCTACAGACCAGTCACAGATCAGTGGGTGGGCACCAACTTCGAAATTTATTTCACATTTCTACTACATGTATGACCCAAAGTCAATACAGATTCATGTTTCAACAGGTGAAGTATCGCTTTATCCCACAGATGAAAGCTATACTGAAATGCACGAGACAACATGACTGATGCTTAATTGATAAAAACTTGCATCAAGTATATTACTACTTTAGTTATTGGCTTTGAAAATACTGACTACATCAAATATGGCAGGGTTGAAAATGATTCAGCTCCCAATGGGAACATTTATTTAATCAGGGCAGCGTTTTGATCTACACGATCTATCTGAGGTGTGATGATGTCCTGCACCTGTATACATTTTTGCCAGAACGTGCACACACTAGTTTTTTCTTTTCAGGGTTGAACATTAACAATAGTTATTCTACGTCCTGTGAACTCCATCCTAATAAACTTCTTCTTACTCTGATATCTACTGCTCAAACCTTCTCTCCTCATAATTTGATGCTGTGTCTTTCACATGTTATCTCTCTGACTCAGACAATTGGACATTTGGCTCCTGCCTCTTTCACCTACACCACTCACTCCTCACTAACAGGCTCTCACTCAGACAGATGATGATGCATTTATTCAAATTCAGACTGTAAGGCTACAGCTCATGTCTGAACACCTGGCTGGTTATTGTTGAAGAATCCATAAGTACACAGCTTATTCTTAGGTTTGGTGAAGTTAAAGCAGCAGTCAGGGTTTTAGGTTGTCCTTTGTCGAGCTCATAGAAGTGTAAAGACTTATAGAAATAGTCCGATCTCATCACTGGAGTTCTTGTTGTCCCTTCATGGAGAAAATCAGATCTTTGGAGGGGGAAATGCAAATAAACGGTAAAAAAAAAAAAAATCATGACTTATGAGCAGGAGGCTGAGAAGACCAAACCAGAGACCTTAAGAGTGCAAAGGAAGAAGGTTTTTGATTGGCAGGTGGTCCTTTCAAGACGCACTGCAGTGGCACCACACAGATGGTCTCGGCACACAGATGGTTCAATTTGTGATGTTAATTTAGATTATTGAGTCAGTTTTCTTCTGGCAGTAATGTTGTTTTTTTCGAATAGCCATCTAGAGAGTGACGGGGAAGGCAGGAGAGAGAGAGGGGAGGACTTGTAACAAGTGATTCAGGTTGTGGAAGGAACTCGGGCCTTATGAGGGACGTGTGCTTTTTGTTTGAGGAGATGTGAACATGTCTAAAAATAAGAATTTCTTCATTTCAAAGTGTTTTTCTGAAGATCAAAAAAAAAAAACAATTCTGCTCAAACCTCTTTAGTTTGATTGTAGTTTCAACTTTATACAAAAAATCTGTAGGGAACAGGTTAGTTCGTATGATCCTATTTTTTTTTAATATAAAGAATTGATGTAAAACAAATAATGGTAGTCATGTGGGGAAGATGTAATGAACCAAAAAACTTTTATTTATATTAAAAATAGTTTCTTGTCATTTCTTGAAGACCTTTTGTTTAAGCATAGTGAACTTCTCCCTGTAAGGTGTTCTGTTATAGCAGTTGTGATGTAATGACTTATTACCTTGTCTAAAAGAGGGTCACATAAATATTCACACAAAAACATTTCCGGCCTCTCTGCAGGATCGAGTCTTCTGGACAGACGGCGAAAACGAAGCCATCTACGGCGCAAACAAATTCACCGGCTCTGACGTGGTGACGCTGGCCAGCAACCTGAACGACCCCCAGGACATCATCGTTTACCACGAGCTGATCCAGCTGTCAGGTAAGAACCTGCTGGGAGGGAGTGGGAGGAAACCGGTCCAGACTGTGTGCATACTCTGTAACATAACGGCACGACAACTTGGTATCATTGTGTTAAGCAAACTTTTTTTTTTTTTTTTTTTTAAATATAGTAGCTGCTGCAGTGAGTTAAGAAAGGGTAGTGAATGGAATACTGTAATAAAGCAGTATGAAGATTCAGATGGTACTAATGGATGTTGTATTAGCTGCAATCTGGTCTACTTGTAAATTATGATCATTTTCCTTATCATTAATATTTTAGTTTCTCAGGGTTGATCAATTCGATGCCAAAATATTGATTGATTCTAAGATAGATCTGTTGTAATGCCTATGTGAGAAATATTGTTTCATTGGTTTAAAAGTAAACTCATACCTCTTGTATATTTGTCAAAGCAATCATAACTATTGACTCTTGTGTGCAGGTACCAACTGGTGTGCAGAGAAAGGTGAAAATGGAGGCTGTAGCTACATGTGTCTACCCGCTCCGCAAATCAACAAACACTCCCCCAAGTACACCTGTGTGTGTCCAGAGGGTCAGGAGCTGGCCACCGACAGCTTACGCTGCAGACCAGGTGAGTCACAGCACCACAGGGGTGGAGTTTACGTATTCATTTCATGTTTGGTGTTTAAATTATTACCATGAATATCTGAACCTGGAGCTTCAGTTTGCATCATGAGGTCGCTTCATGTTAAGTTAATTTTTACACAATGCAGTACTAGAGATTTATGCAGGAGTCTGTCAGACCCCAGGGTAGTGCTCAAAAAATGATACTGGAATTTCTCTGCAATTGTTATTTGGCAATTTTAGTCATGGCTTGCAAACTGATTAGTTGAAACAGGCCCAAGGCTTTTAAGCTGTCCCACATTCTCATTTGTCTACAAAACTTTGAAGTATAACAGATTTAATTCTTATTAATACTTAAATACCATCTTTTGACATTAAGCAACAAGAGTGTGTAGATCCTTTATTTGCCCATCATTATTCTCTCCAAATATTTTCTTAAACATTGAAGAGAGGAAGGTGGGGAGAGTTACCTTTCAAAGTTACTTTAGTTTAATTCATCATCAGACAAAAAAAGCTGCATTTTCTTTCACGAAAACAAGTACATGTAATTCACATGTCTACCTCAAGAGGCAACGTTTCCAAAGAAAACAATTTGGATCAGACTTAGAAAAGGATTAGGAGAATGAATTATTTTCACTCAGAGCTTCAATACTGTGAGTTTTTCTCTTCTGTCTCATCTGTCTATTTGTTAAATGGAATATGAATTATCCATAGAGAATCATGGTTTATAAGTTTATACAAGTGGTAATATTTTGAATGTTTTTAAATAGAAACCCCGGGGGAAACCCTGTACCACTAACCCAGTAGGAAGATTTTAATTTGCCTCTTGATGCCCTCAGGCCAGTGTGGATTGCATCATGGGAAAACGTCAGTAATTGTATGGCTCAGACCAAAAGCATTGCTTTAAACCATCAAATGAATGATAAACCTTTAGATTCTGGTTGTTCTAATGTGCATTTCAATGACTGTACATACAAAGGCGACGTTGTGCTCTCTGCTTCATCCTTTCTGACTGTGCTGCTTGTCTCAAATGTGCCTCACTGTAAAGACTGGATTACAAAGAAAAGGCAAAAGGGAGCTTGGCTTTCACCGTGGAAAACACAGAATCAACTGTGAGAAACAGAATTAATTCTTTAGCTTCAACTGGCTTTGTTGCTAGTTTCGTCCTTCGCTCGATTTTTTTCTTTTTCTTCTTCTCAGCTACTAGAGCAAGTTTCTTTGGTGTGATCGTGTTCTCAGTGTGACTGCTGTCTCCTATCTGTATCCATGCCAGCCACAAACCCAGCTGTCTGTTTCTGTTAGTACTCTGACAGCTGAACAGTAGCTGACTCAGTCGGTGTTGTGATCCGATTTTTTCAGTGTCTCTTTGGCATGTATCAACACCGTCCTCCTTCACATCTCTGCTGCAGCCGTCTACTCCCTCTTCTGTTTGAAAGTGCCTTTGTTGTCTCATCCTGACAGCTGAACTGTGTGGGCTCCCAGGGTTGGACTTTGTTAAGCGCTGTTCATTTTATGCTGTTTTAGTTCAGTCCTGGTCCGAGCTGTTCTCAGTTCTCTGGGCTCCTGAGTTAGATATGTCTGTGGTGGAGCCATGACAGCTGTGGAATGCACTTACGTGAATATTTAACATCTCATGTTCAGCACTTTTGGAAATCCCATGCTGCTTTGACATACTTCTCTCTTCTGGGAAAGCTTTCTGCATGATTTTGGAACCTGGCTACAGGAGCTTGTCATAGTTTGAATTCCAGTTAATCTCAAAAGTGGTGGATGGGGTTGAGGTCAGGGTCATTCAAGTTCTTCAACATGAAAATGGAGGACTTGCAGATTCACAGATGAAGCTTTGTGTGCAGGTGCATTGCTCTGTTGAAAAACTCAGACATTTTTTTTCCCCCAGTCTCCTGCCTAAAATGGAACTGCATTGTTTATACATGTGTTTTTGTTGTTTTGGTTCAAGCCATAAATAAAACACAGAAAAACTGAGCAACATTTGTAGGTCGACAAGATTAAATACATATGTACGTTGCAAATGGGTTTAAATATGGCCCCCAAAAAAGTGTAGTCGACAAAGTCCCTATGTCAACATCTCCAAATGTTCAGTGATCTGACATGATTTGTAAATAACGCTTCAGGCTTAACGCACATCTGTGACACTAGCTACACAAGACTCCAGAGCAGAGCATACTAGACTAAATTGGAGCAGATGAGAGTCTCTTCAAAGATTTGTTACAAATTTGAGTCCATCCCTTGTACTTGGCTGTCAGTGCATATTTTCTCAGCGTATGTATTTTATAACAGGAAGAAAAGTGACCGCCTAGGTAAAAAGAGAGGGGAAAGGTACTTTATTGATTTAGTAGGATGAAGTTGGTTTCTTTTTTTGCATTGAAAAAGTATCTGGGGAAACTTGGTCCCCCCTCTCTGTGATCCACTCTGCTCCAGTTGTTTATCGTCTCGAGTTGCCCGGCTCCTCTCCGCGCTCCCATACATTATTCTTTTCATGCTGCAGCAGCATCGGACAGGAGCCTGACCGCTGAATTCAGTTCACATACTCTGCTAATTGGTCTCAAACTGTAGACCGAGACACTGGTGTACACAAAGTACTGGAACATCTCCCTGACAACTCTCTGCACCAGCGTCCTTCTGAATGAAAGTCTGCCTCGTTAGCCTGCACAGTATTCTCTAAGACGATTCGTCTGTACGCTCCTCTCTCTCCAAATAACTGAGAGCCTGTTACCAAAGTTTTTGACAGTTTTTGCTGAGTTACCTCCTTTTATGATATCTTTGTTTCAGTACATGTTTTAATTAGGGGTGAGGGTCTCTTTCACAGATTGATGCTATTTGTCTTGTGATTAAAAACCGACCGTAAACAGAATTTGAAAAAAGGGCTACAAGATACAGAAAAGATGCAAATATGAGAAGTCTTTTTCCAACTTCTAGGTTTGGAGTAGTAAAGAGTAAGAGTAAAGATGGTCTGCCAGAAGATCTCTATGCAATAAACTGAAACACTAATTTAAAGAGCATATTTCTCAATTTGCTTTGACTCACATTTAACGACCACAGCGTTGGAAATGTTTGAAGGCTGGCTCTGTCTACAGGAGATTTCAATCCTCAAAGATTGAAAAACCAGGTTGCAACATCATGCTCATGAGGAGAAACTTCAGATGTTCAAACATGAACACTAAAAGATGTAATAGTCGGGGCATCCTTCTCTACAGTACATTATTCAGATCATAGTGTGTGCCACAGGGAGCAAGCACTACTCATGAGCTCATGTGGACTTGGCTGTAAACAAAATGAATGTGGTGCAACAACTTGCTGCAGGGATTCTTTGCGGCGAGGAATGAAACCGAGCTAAATGAGTCTGGATGAGAAAGAGGAGATTTGTTTAGCTCAGTCAGCTCTGTTCTTCAGCAAAAACTGCAGGTGAGATTTTTAGCCTTCAGTTTTAATATCGGTCAGCATGCTAGCTCATGTTAGCTTCAGGGCTAGGATGTTGAGCATTGCTTGAATTTAACTACAGCTCTATCTCGATGGATGTTTGTCTTGGCTCAGAAAATAACATTATTATCCACATCTTAAATTCTACATTTAAGACATGTTTGAAAAATTACACCTATGTCCCAAAGCATGTAGCAGAAAAAAGTGTACTTAATGTAATTCTGCCTTAGCATTTTCCCTATAGTTTGTCTGTGATGGTAGCCAGTGTTGTGTTTTATTTGAAGTAATATTGCATATATTTGTTAATAAAGTAACTCATACTTTCACTACTGTTCCCTACTTTCTGCAAGCTTTTGTTCCCATAGCAATAGTTTCAAGACTAGTTTCTGAATGCCCTACCATTAACAGATAATCTAGGACAAACATGGGTACCAACCATGACTAGAACTTCTGTCGTGCTTTTTGCAATGTTGGGAGGGAGAAATCAGCCCATTACTCCTGAAGCTGAGTGTTTTCATGTGAAATAAGGAGCTGAAACCCAAAGTGGGACTCATAACAGCCTGTAAAGGTGACTGGGGAGTGTTTTCCTTCAGGCTCAATGATCACACGTTGAAATAAAGGGAGGTGTTCTTACTCAGTTGGGACCTCACTTGTTTCCACAGTTTATTTTTAAAGCAGGTCAGACAAATGATGACCGATATCATAAAAAACTGTTTTTCAGTCTCAAGTCCTACCTCATTTCTGAACTAAATAAGCTAATCATGAACAAATCCTTTCCAATCCACCATTATATTTGTGTTTAGGAGTCCCAAAGGTACGCTAATGTTTTTATGGTAGACAGCTTTGTTTACATTCAGTAAGTGAAAAGAGGAATCTTAACTGAAAGCTTTTGGTGTCGCCAGTTCGCTGTTTGAAGTCTTAAAAATATCCTCAGAGGATTTTTCTCTAGTGGATTATTCTGTCTCAAATCTCTGCACTTTTTTCTGTCTTAAAATTCAGACAATCAATCAATACAGCATTGATGGAAACTTAACCGTTAGAGAGGGCTTTCAGATTTCTTCAGTCTGAGTGGGATTGTGCTTCATGTTGTTTTCTTTGTCGGTAAAGATGATATGCATTATTCTACAACTCCCACACTGCAGCCCTATCTGCCCTGTGATTTTACAGTAAACACTGCGACACTCTGCTGCCTCAGCTTATTGATCTGACTGGAAGGATGTGACTGTGCTGCTCTGTCTATACTGGTTGTACTGGAGCTGATGGGGACCTCCTGATCAATGCTCCTTACTGCACAGTGTACCACTTTTTTAAACCAGTTTAAAAGCTTCTGAATGTCTCCTCTTTCCTAGCTCCTGTGTGCATCTAATGTTAATAGTGGTATCAAAGCAGAAAAAAGCATTACATTTGTCTATTTGTAGAGATGTAACACTGCTTCTGCTTCTGCACAGTGCAGCTGGTGTCATGAATGTTTTGTGTTGCATCTTCTCTCTCCTGATGAAGAGAACTGGATTCCTGCTTTCATCTATTGAGTGTTTTACTAGTTTAGCCTCCAGAGATCTGATCTATTTTCACGGGCCTACTTGCATGTATGCAGTTTAAAAATAGGGCAGCTTTTATGTTAACAAAGCATGACTCTTCGCTCTTCTTGTGACAGATTCCACTACCAAAGGTCCGTCAAAGGATTCTGGGATTACTATAAAACAGCCATCTACAGGTAAAACCCCTCAGCTGTCGCCTGCTCCTCCTGCTGCTCTGAGATGGTGGCTAGTCTTAACACATGCTGGGTTTGGTTGATGATCATACTGTAGTGACTGCTCTCCTCCCTTACCAAAGGTTTCAGAAGCAGGTTTTCTATTTTAAGCCTTACACTGAGTAATATCTCACTTTTTCTTGCATTTGCTGTTTCTTTTGCATGTTCTCCCTTCTTCTGCTGCTAAATTGAAATGTTAGAATCACCTCTTGTGTCTCCTGCGCTCTGTGGACATATCGATGACCCTTGGTTGGCTCTTTCCCTGACTCACTGCCTCCGAGGATGGCTTCTCCCTATGCTTTGGTGTTTGTTGCTGAGTTATGACGCACATACAGATGAGCTTCAGGGCTCGATGCATTAGAGAGATAACTGATTTAAGTCTGTCTATGCTTCATCTGTAACTCGTGGTCAAGTTGCCTGAGGTATGCACAAGCTAATTTGACTCCAGCTTTTCTTTTCCTCTGTTGCTCAGTTCTGCTGTTTTTGTTTTTTTTTAGGACCAGAAGTTGGGAACCATGACACATTAAAACATTAGTTAGAGATACTTGATGGGGGATTTAGTTTGTTTTACTTGGTTATCCAGTAAAGTGACGTTGATAATCTTAGTTGTGCACTAAACATTTGACACACATACATAATTGTTATTTTGGGACATCAGTTGTATCACAGTCTAAAGTTGGCAGAGCATTGTTTGTTTTCATTAGTCTACAATCCGTGTTAAGGAATTATACATTGCTTGCATTATGTTGGGATAATTTCTCAAAGAACGGAGACGCAACACTGAGAGAGGCTGGACATTATTGATTTGGTAAATGTTTGTTTTTAATCTCTCAGTCAGAGGTCAATTCAAATATTTACTGTGAATTCTAAAATGTTTTGTTTCTCCAGATGTAAAGGCTTTTTAGTTCATTTTAACCCTCGTTCTCATCAGGAGGGCATGGTTTTCTCAATATAATGCGTTGTGTACTGTCCATATATGAAGGAAAAAAATGGTAAGTGACGTCAGACACAGCTATTGCCTCAATGGGGAAAAAAAACGTTGTGGTTGAGTGGATGACTCAACCACAACAAGAGTGTGTTAGATAATGTATTGTATGTAATGTCTGCAAAAACTCAGATCAAGTTGTTTTAGTTTATTTTGTCTTTAATGGATGGGACAGCTGAAGAGAAACAGGAAATGTTGAGAGAAGAGAGTAGGACTCTAGCCTCTGTAGATGGGGTGCACACTCTAACCACTGAGCTAAACCAGCGCCCTGAGTGACTGTTTTAAATATTATAATCACCATACATTTGCTTTCTTTGTGTTTCTATGTGTTTGTCTTGAACCCACTGTTTAATTTAGTCTTTCTTGCGTTCTACATGTTTTCTCACTGGATTTAATCATGATTCATGGCTAATATATTCTCAGATAAAGTTAGCTCATTAATCTTTGTGCTGTGATCTCTGGTGAATTCTCAGTAAGAAGAATACACCTGTGTCTCTTGAGCTTTTCTCACCTGTTGAGTCTTCTGAGAGACAAAATGCTTTGGGGGAAAAAAGCAACCTGAGGGAACTGCAGAGTCTCTGTTGTAGCACCCTCTATCTGTTTTTGGTCAGAAGAGACCTGAGCTGTTCACATTTCAGATGCATGTTTTAAAATGTGAATACGGAGCTTAAAACAGGGACCCTAATGAGCGACAACAGGACCGACCACAGGATTTTATTTAACAAGTCCCGGTTTGTTTGTAATTACAACACTTCCTCTCATGACGTTCATTCTGATAGTTTGAGCCCACAGTGTGTTCTTTGGAGGCAATGTGAGCTGGATGGAGAGGAGTTTATCGGTGCTGCCATCTTTTCTAACATAAAGTGAGCCTGTGATGAAGATTATCTGTATGATTATCTCTGTATGAGCTGATGTTAGTCTGCAGACATTGACCAAGAGCACCACCTAGTGACTAAACAAGAAAGTGTCAAAACAAAACTATTTAAACTCGGTCCATGTTTAACCCATAGTTGCTACTTAATGAAATGGAAAGAGCAAATTATCTGTGTGTGCAGGTTGTTTAAAAAGGTCTGCAGATAATGTTTTCTTTTTCACATAACTCAAAATATAGCCCTTTAATTTGAGCAGTTTCTCTATAAACTGTGTAGAAATGTCCTTCAACACTCCCCTACCATACCACCTTTATCTCATGAAAAAGGCTTGAGTCATCAATGATCTCACTAAGACACATGAAGCCTGCTATATTTTAGATTTAGTTTCTCATTCTGAACCAGAAAGCTTCGGTCTGTTTTCTGATCACAGTGCCCAGCTGTTTTGGGGAATAAGGTCCATTTCAAATAATGAAACTACATTTCTGTAAGCTTCAGTCGGAACTAAAGAGTCTGACAAATGGGGTGGAGAAGTCCAAAAATGTTAAGAGATCAACTAACAAATGCATATTATTTAAATGTCAAGATTAAGACAAAACATTAAGGAAACATTTACACATGACAGATTTTTCTTGGAAATACCTTGCAGGAAATCAAATCCTGATTGAAAGTACAAACACTTTAAATGCATCTCATCTGCATTGTTTTTTTTGTTTTTTTAAAGAGTAGATGTACCCATTTAGGAATTAAGTTGTTTTGTATTGATCAGTTAGCTGCTTTATTATATTGTAGGTCCTGGGTCCTGGCACAGACTCTGTTGGATAAGAGCTGCACAATAAATCCTTCTAGCCACCTGATCTTGCTGCAAAGCTTCAGGTGCACTAAGTATTTGCTGCAGGTGTTCTTTGTGTCCCGACCCACGAGTTCTGGCTCCGTCTGAAGACTGCGTGTCATTATGAAGGCACAGAGTATAAAATCACTTCTCTTAGCTTTAGGGCAATGTTACATATTTAAAGAAACAACAATCCATTATCCTTACTGTCAGATCATCACTGTCCAGGTTTTACAGATGTCTCTTTTATAATTGTGCTCTTTTGAAGTGTTTTATAATCTGCAGGGTTATTTTCAGGTGCAATACCACGACTGACCACTGGGAAAGATTTAAAGTAACACTGAGATGTGAAGCTGTATCCAGTTTGTAACTGTACCTCCTTGACTGAAGTCTGGTTTGATTCTGTGACAGACGTATTTAGATGATGTCAGAGTCATTTGGCAGCTGAACAAGAGTTCTTGTACACTTTTATCTTTCTCTTTGTCCTGAAGTCTCTGTCGCTGCTTTCAGATGAGCTGTTTGACATTCATGTCACTCGCTCACTCGTGGCCAGCACCAGAAACATTCTGTCCTGCTGCTTGAACATACAGGACAGGATCATGTTGACCAAGGGAAGAATTTCCCTGCATGTTGCTGACAATGTTCAGCCAAATGTCAGAATCACAACTTCAGCGTCATGCCAGTGGTTACAGTTGAGGGAATTTATGCTGGTTTATACTTTTTGACAACGAACACAATTTATGACAATAATTCCTCAAGTATTTACCTTTGCAGAACAAAAATATAACTTCTAGCTCTTAGTGTGAAACGGACAGGTTCTCATCACTGCAAGAGATCTCATTAGAGAGGAACCTTTGGATTATCATCTTGTATATGTGGTGTTGTTACTTGTGCAATGTCAGGAGTAACTTGGATGTTACAGCAACACTAACTATAGTGTTGCTGTAACATCATCTGTTTGATATCCTGCCCACATGCAACCAGTTAGTCATTGTCACCCAAACGTTCAAATCAGCTTCTAGTTCAATGTTTATCTATTTTAACAAGTTTTATTCTTAAATCAGGGATCTAAACATGAGATGGACTCTTGTCATCTGTCGGAGCGGTATCAATGCCCTAACACTTTCTAGTCATCTTTTAACCCTTTCAACCCCGCTCTATTCCTTCCCCAGCCTCCTGCCACTCAGGTGATTATGGAGCCTGTATTAGTGGAGCGTGTGCTGTAACTTTTTCAGCATGGTGAATCTGCCATCGACAAAGAACTGATGTCAAGTGATGGTTCAGTTTGTTACTTTGAAAAGTGTTGACCTGTGGATTGTTTTTTTTGTCTTTCAGAAGCCAATTTGAGATCATCCATCCAGGTGGACTCCACAGCCAGAGGTTCTGCTGCTGCCTGGTCCATACTGCCCGTCTGTGAGTGGAGAACTCCCTCAGTCACTCACACTTACACACATGAGAAATGTCTTTAAAATGTAGACTTTTAGGACCGGCTAGCAGAGCTGACCTGAGGCTTCCAGATTGTGAAGTTTTGTGGACTAATCAAACTGAAATATTTATCTGGTTACATCCAAACACACACTTCCACCTGCTGTAACTCCAGTTATTTCCTGATTTATCAGCCTTGATATTTAATTACTGTTCATCTGACTGATGTGTTGATTTGTCTCTCTGCTCAGTGCTGATAGCGATGTCTGCAGCAGGCGGCTACCTGATGTGGAGAAACTGGCAGCTGAAGAACCAGAAGAGCATGAACTTCGACAACCCGGTCTACCTGAAGACCACCGAAGAAGATCTTAACATAGACATCACCCGGCACGGCGCCAATGTGGGACACACGTACCCAGCTGTGAGTAAACAATCGCACAACATCTTTGCATATATGCTTTTAATTGTAATCCAGAAAATGAAAATAATAACGAGCTCTGTTCTCTAACAGGAGTAGCTCTTGTGTTGTTTTGCATCAGTTTCATCCTGATGTATAGAATGGAGACTGCATGTCATTGACCTCTACTCTCACTGTGACCCCGTGGTCTTCAGTAATCCTTAGAGCATTGTTGGCTGTCCACAGAGCACATCTCTCTGTACACAGATTAAACAGATTAACCTCGGCTCGGCCAGAGCCGCAAGATGCACACAAACCTCTGACATCACTCTCACAGCTGCAGCAGAAAACATCTGTCTCATCACACGCACAGGAAGATCTTTATTCTTGTCTTTTTTTTTAATGCAATGATTACAAATTCGTTATTTTAAAAATTCATGCAAAAATACAATAAAAATAACTCAATACATCACACAGGGTAAATAGCTGCAGGATGTAACTCCACTGAAATACACAAGTTTTTTTTTTTTCCATCCCTTTGTTTTGATTCATGATATTGGACTTTGGCTGATATGCTAATATTTCTTAACTCTATTCTGGCCGTCTGCTGATTCCAGTGTATGCACATATTTTCTTCACTAATTGCAAAAACCATCAAGTCTCTGTTGTGGAGTGGCATTAACATATAATTATGCCGTCTGTTTAGAAATGGCTCACAGGCAGATTCATAAATTAGACTTTCAAAAATGCCCACCCTCACGAGGCAAAATGGATGAAGGAAGTATAGAAATAATTTAAGAATGTAAAAAATAAAATGGAATAGAGATAATAAAATAAGTACAAGGTAGGACAAGAATAATAGGCTATGTACAAGTATAGTGACTTAAAGAGAAGACATTAAAACAATATTTACAGTTAAATATACAATGAGTTCAGGAGTGTGGTTATTATATAAGTGTATTTATAGGGTTTCAATATGAACAAAAAAAAATGTATGACCGGTTTGTAGACAGATTGCACCGTCTGTTCAGTCTCTGCTTGGAGATGACTAACAACAGTAATCTCGTGGTGACTCATCAATAACTTCTTGATCATGCATTACTAGACATCATTTTTATATAAGGAACAAAGATCATTTATAGGGTCAATTATTATTGTGCATAACTAAAACTTAACTTATCTGTCAGTGCATATCAGTAGTTACATTTGTAGTTTTACTAGAGCCCATCTGATATTAGAATTTATAAACAATAAGGATAACTTTTTTAAAGAGGAACAATTCAAATATTACACATACGGCAGCTCATATTGTCAATTTATGATCTAGACTGAGAATAAACCTTAACTATGTGGACTCCATTCATCATACATTCTTTCTTCTTGCAGTCTCAACTCATCTCAACAGAAAAAAAATATATTTTTAATGAGACGATCATTCCTCTCTCCTCCCCCTCCCTCTCTCTGTCTCCAGATTTCGATAGTGAGCACAGAAGACGATTTATCATGATCGTCCATTTTTTTTACAGCAACCCTGCAGCGTTGCATGGCGCCTCCTCGTTCCCATGCCAAAGGTTGTCCTTAACCACGGCCACAGCAGCAGCCCTTACAGTACGACCACATGCCTTCTGAAGTGCATTATGTCATCACCTGTGGAGAGGATGACCCGATGAAATGTTATTTATTATGTGAATACTGCAGTGAATTAAGTGTCATAACTGTTTTCTGAAGTGTGGAAGATTTTTCTTTTTTTTTTTTTGCTTTCGGTCTTCATTCATCTTCAGGGCCTCGGACACATGCTTCCCATCTTCTTGGTTGCCCCGCCCTCTTCAAGGAGAAGATGCTGATCTTTTTGCAACTCATGCGGAATCTGCGTGAATTTCCACAATTTTGTGTCCACTCTCACGGGGCTTTGAACTGGAAACTGACCAGAGGACGCAGAGATAGATCGACTGTGCTAGACGGGATTTAAAACTGGATCTGAGCCGTTAAGACTGTCAGACTCCTCTTTGAACCTTATTCAGACTGGAGAGGGATGGGGGAACTTGGTCCCTACTGTACTTCTTGCTTCCTTTAATCCAGCAGGCTCCTATGTGTGAATCTTCCTGTACGATTCTGTTTTTTGGCGGTTAAAATACGATGTAAGTTTTCTTCTATTTGTTAATTTTTTTTTTTTTTCTCTCAAATGGTACCTCCTGCGGTGCATTCTTACAAGCTGTGTTTTCAATCAGTATTATTGTTATTATTATTATTATTATTATTGGAAGCTATGTAAGGGTCACCATGGTTACAGCATTTGTAAACATTGTACATAGATCTCCATCATGACGTTCGATCAGGACTCTCTTTAATGCACTTTGATCAAATGTTCCTTGTGTAAATAAGATTGTATACATTTCACTTGAAATCGATTTTTTGCTAAGGTTGGGCATCGTGGGTTAGAGTTCAGATGTAATTTAACAAGAAAGTAAAAGCTTAAAAAAAAAAAAAACTAGAAAAAAAACGGTACAACTGAATTTGGTAAAACTATTTTGTATGTTTATGTGCTGTTGCTGTGAACTTTTTCTAGCCTTGTACAGCGAGGGGAACTTAAAGAGGTCTGTATCTGTGAAGAAACTGATTTGCAAATCACTTGAGAATTAAAAAAATCTAATCTACAACGTTGTTCAAAAATTGGCATCCCTGTGTTCTCCATCATGCGTGCTGTATGAATGTAAAGATCTGCGAATGTTGACAGGAGTTTCTTTTTGGTCATTAACGTCCATGAAGAGAAGTTTAGATCCTTTAGGATATTTTGGATGATAGCGTGCCTCCATCGTGTGTACCACAATGTCCAAAGAAGATATCCTGAGGGGGGGGGTTCACGCTATACACTCTGTTGTTAAACATGCCGCACGCACGCACGCACGCACGCACGCACGCACGCACGCATGCACGCACGCACTAATGGAGAGATGTGAGAGTGAGGGGGGCTGCACATGAAACACTTTACGCATTTCAAGTGCTGAACCTAGAAATAAAACATGATGACTAGGGAGCAATTTAAACGCTGAGTATTAAAACATAAAGGACTTACATTTACAATACAACAGGGCAGGAGTGAAGTATTAATAAGGCACTTCACATCATTCTCTAGTCAAGGTATTGGTTTTGAGTAGAGAGCACTACGCTGTGACTTCAAGGTGGTCAGTCGACATCATCTGGGAGATTACTCCAAATCTGAGCTGCTGGAAACACAAACCATGAGAGACTGGTTCCCAGAGACTGAAACTACTTCTATAGAAAGTTTGACTGAATTACAGTCTGTCAAACTAGTGAGGGGCACCAGTAGCCTAGTGGTTAGTGCGTACACCACAGGTGCAGAGGCTGCAGTCCTCATAGTGGACGGCCCGAGTTCTAAACCGATGTGTGGCTCCATTCCCGCATGTCGTTCCTCTCGCTCTCCGATTTCTGACTGTCCACAGTCTGCTCTAAATAAAGGCATAAAAAGCACAAAAATAAACCTTTTGAGTTTATGACGAGGATTAGTCGAGGGGTCGGTAAGAAAATTCAAGAATGCAAAAAGATGAGCTGAAGACTCGTCAAGGCAGGGTGACGTCAGCTCATTGAAGTGTGTGTGTGTTTTAAAGAAGTCCATTAAGAGCACTTAAAGTGTTTTATTAGAAAAGGATCCAGCTCCATCTGCTCATTATCCCTGTTTAACTGCAGCGAGGATTAATCTCCACTGAAATTTAAAGGCTGTAGTTGGATGTAAAGAGAATGACTTGTGGGCAATGTGCCGGCAAATCTTCATTAAAGAGTAATCGGCAAGAAAAAGCAAGTCTCAACATCTGTAAAACATCTCTTGACATCACCACTCAATTAAACCAGATGACCCGACTCCCCGTCCTTCTTCAATGATAGTGGTCATGCGACATAATTAACTCACACACATTTCACACAGAATAGGTTGTACTGACACAAAAAAAGATACCAAATGGATTTTAAAGGTCACATATTCTCAACCAGTGGCTTAAATAAGTTTCAGAGCTCCCCAAAACATGAGAGGCAACACCTCCTGAACTCAGCACTGGGCTTTTAAGCACCAAGGCTAGGTGCCACTCATTGAGCAATAAGTCGCCGTACCTGAACAGAGCTGGAGACAGCAAAAGAGACGGCAAAAGAGGGAAAGACACAACCAGCACAGGGAAACATACACAGCCATGACAACGACAATGTATGCACAAAGCTGTTTACACACATGAACTCCTGACACTTTCTAGAATCTTTCAGGACAACCTGCCCCTGACTTGTTGTTTCCCTGTTAGGGTTTAGGGTCTCAGGAGACAGGACATGACTTAGACCCATCATCAATGGTGGGCCTATGTGGAACCAGACACATTCACAGGATCTACAAATGAGTGTAAGAACATCCTGGTGACTGGTGAGCAGGAAAGAGTGTGACGCTGCTTCACTGCGGACATGACATCACACCAGTCACTCACTGGTTGTGAGATATAAATGTCTTTTCCCCCTCGGCTCTCCCACTCACCTGTAGTGTATCTAACTGACTTTTACCTGCTGCATTCATACATCTGCTCACCCTGACTTCATATGGACATTTCATCAGGTAGCTGGCAGAAAAAGTCTGGATCAAATAGTTTTGTGTGTGTGTGAATACAGTAGTAGGGACGCCCTGATTCCTGTTTTCAAACTCAGGTTAACATTTCTGCTTTGTCAATTTATTATATTCTCATGAACCTCAACTGTTCTTGTGTTTAATGAGTGTCAGCACATGTTCTCCATGATGATTTCTTACCCACACCTGCTCCCGTGAACACATCACCCCTGTCCTGAAAAATCTCCCCTGGCTCCCTGACCAGAACCCTGTCCAATTAAAAAAAATCCTGCACCTCACACACACAAAGCCCTCCACCACCAGGCCCCCTTCCACCTCACTGATCTCCTCCACTGTCACACTCCCTTCCTTAGCCGTCACACAGAACCAAGCTCCGAACCTGAGCGGCCCCCTCCCTCTGGAAATCACTCCCCAAACATATAAAGCATGTTACGCCCGCCCCACAGTCACTGTCTTTTCTTTTCTTTGATAACCTGTCTGCAGTGTTACATCAGTTAGTGCCAACATTATTAAACAGAATAGTGATTTATGAATCTTCCCTTATCTTCAGCTGTCCTGTCCAGCCCCTCTCAGGCAGGTTTGTAAAGTTATGAGCTGTTGGGATAAGTGGGAGGAGAGAAAGAGATCAAGAGATGGATAAAAGAGGATAACAGTATTTAAAACTTTAAGCACCCAGATCATCTCAGTCGGCCGCAGCAGACGAGAGTCACTTCCTACATCATTACACTCTGTGTGTGTGTTGAGTGTCAGCTGTGTGTGTGACCTGATTTTTTCTGAAGTCAAGTAAAAGCACTTTCTCCGTCCTCCATGCATGATCAACCGTTTGTGTGCTTGTGATGCAGATGTTGTGCAAGATGTCAGCAGTGTGTGCGTGCCAGTTTGAGAAATAGACACTGTTGGAGTTGCCAGGATGTTGCCAGGATGTGTCTCTTTGCAGGCTGCATGCTTTTAGGATAAAAAAAAAAAAACGACCATGCTGACCCACATCAGAGCCCGAAGCAGGAGTTTGTTTCCCGGCAGCCGGACTCAGGCCATCAAAGAATCGGCGGACTATCTGGACTTCTGCAACACCTTTATCAAGCCATGGAGCTCCATGCAGGTCACAAACTTTTTACTGTTTGTTTGTTTATTTTTTAAGTTTTTCTTTTTTGGTCTTTCTCTGTTGTTCTTCTGTCCTTGACTTCTGTGGATTTTGACTCCTCTGTAGAGTTAAGATTATTTGAATTCTTTAGAGCCAAATGTTCAAAACAGAAGACCACTTTATTTATTGTTTTATCTGAATATATAAATCTATTCAGTATTTTGGAGCTATTTTATATCAAATCCAGCGTCTGCGTACATGTCCTCCCTAGTTTCCCCTGGGTTGTACTCTGCTTAGTTTCATTATTTCATTATATGCTTTCATTCATGTTGTGTAGAAGATGTGGAGTTAATCTGCTAAACTCAACTATGAATATTTTTTTCATTATTAAGCATCTGGGCCGGGACATTTATGATCTTTATGCTGAGTATGGAGAGGAGGAGGAGGAGGATCGACGTCTGATGTCTTCCTCTCACCTGCTGCTTTCTCCAAACGAACACTTCACTCTCAACATCAACGTTGGAGGAACGGTAACTTCAAGAAAAAGTCTTTACTTTTGACCCAAGGCCTTATTCACATTCACTCAAACATATCAACAATTGTTCATATTTGCTGTGGACATGGATCTGAATTTATGGCATTTTGGTGACAGCCATTAAAAATGACCTATAGAAATAATCTTATCACTGATGGTCTTGTTAGCTTTAGCAGGTCATGAAGACGCATTGAATTTCAATCTATTTTAAAACCTGCTGAAAACTCCTTATAGGAGATTTTAGGTCACATATTCTCCTCCTTTTCAACCAGTTTAAATAAGTCTCAGCTCCCCAAAACATGTGTGTGAAGTTTCTAAATCCACTCTGATCCTGTATTTGATCATGTCTATAAACCTCTTTATTTCAGCCCTGCTCAGAACAGGCTGTTTCTGTGTCTGTACCTTTAAATATGTAAATGAGCTGTGTCTGACCACGCCCCCTCTCTGGAAGGGCTTGGGTGTACTCGGTCTTTCTCGCCCTGTGTCCTATTGTTTACGGTGAGAAGTCAGACTCAGAGAGCAGAACAAACACCTAGCTGTGGGAGTGTCACCCACCTGGGGGAGGGGCTACTGCCCTTTGTGATGTCACAAAGGGAAAATCTCCAAACAGCCTGTTTGAGCACACATTTTCTGAAAAGTGGAGCAGGCAGAAGACGGAGAGGATGGACTTTTCTCATGATTGGGGGGTTTGTAGATGGACTAAAGACACATATTAGAGTTAGAGAAACATGATAGAGTGTATTTTGCATGATATGTGACCTTTAATTGTATGTTTTGTTACCCTCAATGTTTTAAAAGGCGTCTAATGTGCCGTCCTCTGTTTTCCACATCTGCAGGTGTACCTCTTGCCCTACAGGTTAGCTGCCCAGTATCCAAAGACAAGGATCGGACGCTTGGCTACATACACAGACCACAACAAGAAGCTGGCCCTGTGTGACGACTACATCGTCCAGAGCAAAGAATTCTTCTTCGACCGCGACCCCAAAATCTTCCACAACATCTTCAACTTCTACAGGTTCAAATAAAATACTAATTACAGATAAAGCATTAGAAAATGGGGTTGACCTCTTGTTAATAATCCTGGATCATGACCTCCTGTCTCTGTCTTCTTCATCAGAACCGGAGTGTTGTGCATTAAAGACGAGCTGTGTCCCCGAAACTTCCTGGAGGAGATAAACTACTGGGGCGTGAGAATCAAAAACAGTCAACGCTGCTGCCGTATCTCCTTCGAGGAGAGGCAGGATGAGCTGAGCGAGCAGCTGAAAATACAGAGGCAGCTGATAGCAGAGGTAGGATGGCTGTGTGTGTGTAGGTAGATAAACACGTGTACCAATCGCTCCAGAGGCTGGTTCCAGATTCTCTGACTCACTATTGACAAATCTGCATCTTCCACTTAAACCTGCAGGGATCTAGCAACTTAGACTCAAGAAACGACAGGCTTAATCAGAGCCTTTGTGTTAGCCAGAGAGGTTTGTTAAAGTTTATCTATAAAATATTTTCTTATCATAGATAATGATACATCATCTTAACCATAAACAACAACACGCTGCAGTTTTTGAATCCCACTGCAGCACCTCGGTCGCTGAGTTCTTCCAGTACATTCAACATAAACTTTTAGTTGCAGAATATTCTGACCAACTGTTCTTGCTTGGATCACCCAGTTCTCCCACTCTCCCTTTATCCATTCTCTCTTTATCTTAAAACTGTCCTCAAAAAGTCAAAACTATTCATTCTCATCGATCCTCTTCTTGCAGATGAGTGTTAATCTGAGGCGATAGCGCCCCATGTACGGAGGCTTTTGTTCTCCAAGTAGGCAGCCTGGATTCAACCTGTCTGAACTGTCTGACCTGTGGCTACTTTCCCCCATGTCATTCCCCACTCTCTCTCTCTCTCTCTCTCTCTTCTTCTCTCTCTCTCTCTCTCTCTCTCCTTGATCTCCTACTCTATCCACTGTCCTCTGAAATACAAACATAAAAGCCCCAAAACAAGTCTTAATATAAGAAGTTGGTGGATTCTATTTAAAAAAGTTATATATTTATTTCAACACATGCCAATATTGAAATATACCTGATCGGCTTATACTAGCCCCATTATAGTACATCATATTGGCTACAAGAAGTAGGTTGGTCAACTGTAATACTGATGATATTCCAGTACACTCAGGTTTACCTTGTTTTACTGCTTATTAACAAGTTCATGCATGTTTACATGCTTGATAATATCTACCGAATATCAGCTTGTGAGCACTGATTGTAATACAAGCTCAAAGCTGTGTATTACTGCCTCACAGAGCTGCTAGCATGGCTATAGACTCATAGGCTTGTTTTAAACTGAGATACTGTGCTTTAATAGCATCCACTTACCAGGAGAACCTGGAGATGATTCCTTGTTTGTAAGCTCGACACATTTAAGCTGCTAAAATGTGTATCTCAGGTGAGAGCATCATAACAAAGACGAGACAGACTTCATGAACCCTGGGGGAAACAGGAGTAGCACTAACATTAGCTCATAAGTCAGGTAGTTTCTTGTGCTGCTCAGTGAGTACATATACCCCCCTCCTGACACCATATGTTTAAAAAGACTGGAGTCATTGGTTCAGGAGCTTGTCTTTCTATTTTTATTACCTGTGACATTTTGTCACTAATCTGCTGGCTGGCTCTGTCAGTGTGACCTAGATTATAAATCTCGACTGCAGCGTCTTAACAGATGGAGAATGGAGAATAAGCTGCGTCTTGGCACAGATGTAGACAGATGTTTCCATCACAGAGGTCGCACTCCGATGCAGTTTGTTGAACCAGTTTCCTGTGAATGAGTATTTTATTTTGAAATCTGGACTTGTTGTCCTCATATTCAATGAGATGTTTTAAGATGGGTTTTCTGTATTTTTGAAACAGGCTTTTGTCTTATGTCTTTCCTGTTTGAATCTTTTGACTGGGTTATAAAATCTGTGCCTTTAAGGTGGAGATGGAGGAGAACGAGGAGTTGTTTCATGACATGGCCTTCGGGTCGACCAGAAAGATCATCTGGAACCTGATGGAGAAGCCGTTCTCCTCGATCACCGCCAAACTGATGGGAGTCGCCTCCTCCATGTTCGTGCTGATCTCGCTTGTTGCCATGACACTCAACACTGTGGAGGAGATGCAGTACAAGGTGTGTTTGACTTTGTGATCCCATCAGCAGCCATCATCTGTTTTCTACATTTAAAAAAAAACAAAAACTTTTTGCTTTTATTAGACAGGACAGCTGAAGAGAGAGGAAATGTTGGGAGGAGAGAGTGGGTGATGACATGCAGCAAAGGGCGGCATATCTGCTAAGCTCCAGATACTGTATGTAGATTCTACATTTGTATGTAGAATCTGTAAATAGAGATTTGTTTACAGCTGACACATACAGTGGAGGAAATAATTATTTGATCACCTGCTGATTTTGTAAGTTTGCCCGATTTCGAAGAAGTGAGAGGTCTATAATTTTTATGGTGCCTTTATTTTAACACACAGAGACAGAATATAAAAAAAAATAATTTGCATTTGATTGAAGGAAATAAGTATTTGATCCCCATGCAGAACATGACTTAGTACTTGGTGGAGTCACCCTTGTTGGCAAGCACAGAAGTCAGACGATTGTTGTAGTTTGTCACCAGGTTTGCACACATCTCAGGAGGGATTGTGGTCCACTCCTCTTTACAGATCTTCTCCAAATTCTGAAGGTTTCTAGGCTGTCGCTTTGCAACTCTAACTTTCAGCTCCCTCCACAAATTTTTTTATAGGATAAAGGTCTGGAGACTGGGTAAGCCACTCCATGACCTTAATGTGCTTCTTCTTGAGCCACTCCTTTGTTGCCTTGGCCGTATGTTTCGGATTGTTGTCAAGCTGGAAGACCCATCCAAGACCCATCCTCAGTGCACTGGCTGAGGAAAGGAGGTTCTTGTCCAAGATCTTACGGTACATGGCCCAATCCATCGGCCCCTCAATGCGTGAAGTCGTACTGTACCCTTAGCAGAGAAACAGCCCCAAAGCATCATGTTTCCACCTCCATGCTTGACGGTGGAGATGGTGTTCTTGGGTTGGTATTCAGCATTTCTCTCCCTCCAAACACAACAACTTGAGTTTATGCCAAAGAGTTCAATTTGGTCTCATCTGACCACATCACCTTCTCCCAAGCCTTCTCTGAATCATTTAGGTGTTCATTGGCAAACTTCAGACGGGCCTGTACATGTTCCTTCCTGAGCATGGGGACCTTGCGGGCACTGCAGGATTTCAATCCATTACGTCGTAGTGTGTTACAAATGGTTTTCTTGGTGACTGTGGTCCCAGCTGCCTTGAGATCATTACAAAGCTCCTCCTGTGTAGTTCTGGGCTGATCCCTCTCCATTCCCATGATCATCCTTACCCCACGAGGCGAGATCTTGCATGGAGCTCCAGACAGAGGGCGATTGATGGTTATTTTATATTTCTTCCATTTTATTATAATTGCACCAAGGTCAAGGTTTCTTTATTCGTCTCGTCGAGAAATTTGTCCAGGATGCTGGGAAATTGCTGCATAAAAACAGTAATTACAAATGTGCAAAAAACATTTAGCTTCTCCGTGCTACAGCAGTTCACCCAAGCGTCTGCTTACGTATCCATCCACACACACACACACACACACACACACACACACACACACACACACACACTCACTCCTACAGTCACAGGCGCATGCACATGCACACTGTGCACATGTACACATGCCACTCCAGACAGTTTCATACATACATACATGTCTACAGTTATCAGTACATTGGGGGCCTCCTGGTTTTCCGTTCCTCCTCTATTTTTTGCTCATTAATGAGCTTAACTGAAAAAGGGACTAGTGAGTTTTTGAAGCGGTTGTATTTGCACAGAGGAACCCAGTACCTTCTCCCTGAGTTCAATAAAACATATTCAGAGTGCAATACATGGGAAGTGTCCGATAAAATGCCCTTGGCCTGTGTGATTGTGGCCTGCTCAAAAAGATCCTGGGGGGTAAGAGGGGCACACATTCCCATGATCTTGCCTGCTGTCTTAACCAGGCTGAGGATCTGAGCTTTAGATTTTACTGTTAAAACACCAACAGCTTCTTCTTCTCACCAAGCTTCTTGCTGATGGTCTTGTAGCCCACTCCAGCCTTGTGCAGGTCTACAATCTTGTCCTTGATGTCCTTTGAAAGTTCTTTGGTGACAAGGTGTTTAAAGATGTTTTTAATGTACTGCCAGCTGAGTGGTGAAAAACAAACCTCAGTAATTCATTCTCTCACCATCAGAGCTTATGCAGATCGATAGTTAATCAAACAAACATTTTAAACCAGGTTTTTTTTAAATTTTAAAACAGTTTTTTTTCCCCAGACAGCGTCAGGCCAGTCCAGTGGCAGATTCTACGGCGAGTACCTGGAGACTATCTGCATCACCTTCTTCACCCTGGAGTACCTGCTGCGCCTGGTCTCCACCCCCGACATCATGTGTTTTGGACGCAGCATGCTGAACACGGTCGACCTGGTAGCCATCCTGCCTCACTACCTGCAGATGATCCTCGAGCACTTTGAGGGAGAGGACATCCATCCTCACTCAGGGGACATCAAGAACGTGGGACGTGTCAGGAAGGTAAGAGGGACTTAGAGTGGCAGCGTAAAAAAAAAGAAATCAGACATAAGTTTATTTATCTGCTCTTGTTCTGTGATTTATCTCTCATCTTTAGCTGGGTCAGGTTCTGAGGATCATGCGTCTAATGAGAATCTTCAGGATCTTGAAGTTGGCTCGTCATTCAACGGGCCTCAGAGCATTCGGCTTTACACTGAGACAGTGCTACCAGCAGGTCAGAGTCTGAACTACAGCTTGGGTCAATTAAGCCATTTAGGAATAAAACTCAGAGGAAGTCGTGTTTATATGTCATACCTGAGACAACTATGTACCACATGTAGAGAGAATTTGAGAAAATCTGTTGTTGAAAGCAGTTAAGAAAGTGTTTTGGAAATGTCTACTTAAAGAACTCGTCTTGATTGGCATTCTTCTGTATGTACACTTTCTTTTTCAAGTGTTTCCTTGTGCAAACTAAATAAAAATCTGCAAAATGCATCTACTATAAGCACTTTAATGGTGTAGGGGAAATAGTAAAAAAGTTGAGCGTGCAACTTTTTACTCTCGGTTGGTTGAAACTTGGCAGAGAAGGCATGAAACAGGAAGCA